ATATTAATTATTTTTCGTATAAACGCTATTTATATCCGTAATGCTTAATAAGCTTATCGTAAGCTAATTAATCCCGCTATTAATATAATTCGTAAAATTTAGCAAATCGCTTTACGTTTACTTTTGCTTTTTATATAATTTTTACCGCGTTTATTAATTTTATAATAGCTAATTTTAATTGCTTTTTAGCTTTTTTAAAAAAAATTAATAAATCGGCTATTTATTATAATAATATAATATTTCGTTTTAATATATTTATTCGTTTTTTATATTTATTATAAATATTTTTTGCTTTACGGAATTTGCTATTTATAAAATAGATTTTGCGTATAGCGCGCTGCGCCGCCGCCGAAAATAGCTATTTTTTTACCGCGTATTTTGCGGTATCGCTAATATATATTAAATTATTAACCGTACAATATATAAATAAAATATTAGGTCCGTAATAAAATAATAAAATATCGTGCCGGTATAACGGGTATTTTTTATTATCCCGAAGCTATTTCCAAACGTAACGCTTTAAAAATTTATATTAATAAAAAAATATAAAAACCTTATTTTTAATAAAATTATTTTTTAAATATATAATATATTATTTTTACGTATTAAATAAAAATAATAAAATAAAATAAAATATAATATCGTTTTTTTTAATAAGCTAAAACTCCTTAAAGCGGTAATCGTAAAACCCCCCGTAGCGATCCTAAATATAAAACCGCAGCATTTTAACCTCGGATATTTATCGAAAAAATTAAATTCGGCAAGCTTTAAAATTTAATATTATAATATCGGCTATATTATAAACGATATATAGCCGGGATAAATTTAGCTCGGTATAAAAATGCTTTTTAATTAATATTAAATCGACCGGTATATATAATTTTAAAATCCCGTCCTAATTAGCTAGCATAATAGCATTAGCAATAATTATAAAATAGCCGATTTTAGCCTTATCGGGAATTTTTACTAAGCTAAGCCCGCCAAAATAAGCTATTTCGAAAAATAATAAGCAAACGGTAAATTATTTAGGTTAAAAACGCTAAAAAACACTATTTAAGAGCCGTTAGCTAATAACGAATAAAACCGAAAAATATTCCGAATAAAAAGCGGTTATAAAATATAATGCAATCCTAAAAGCCTCGCTTAAAATAAAACGGAAAGGGATATATAGTGGTTAGCGTTCGAAAAGCTTCCCGGTTATAATTAAAAGGTGCAGGACGAGTAATACTAGCTAACACCTCAGCTAGTTCCCTTTTTGCTTACGCAAAAAAGGAAGGGACGACAGCAAGATCGTGAGGAATAGCAAAATCGTGAGGAATAGCAAGATCGTAAGGGACAGCAAAATCGTAAAGAATAGCAAAATCGTGAGGGACAGCAAAATCGTAAGGGACAGCAAAATCGTAAAAAACAGCAAAATCAAGGAACAGCAAGATCGTCAATTATAAGAAAAAAGAAAAAGAAAAAGAAAACCAACCGCCAGCTAACAAAACAGGTGCCAGTCTAGTTCCCAGTCCAGTTCCCAGTCTAGTTCCCAATCCAATTCCCAATCCAGTTCCCAAGCCAGTTCCCAAGCCAGTTTTACAGCCAGTTCTACAGCCAGTTTTACAGCCAGTTCTACAGCCAGTTTTACAGCCAGTTTTACAGCCAGTTCCCATAGATAAGAAAGATAAGAAATAATACAATTTAGGACTAAACGTGGCGTAAAAGCAAATCAAAAAAACACACCTTCGCAACGTTGCAAAAGCATCAAATCAACCCCGAAAGCCTTAAATTTACTACCGATTAATAAATAACAATAATTTCTATCGTTATACTTAATACATCCAAATTTAAAGCCATTTTAAGGGCGCGGGAAAGGTTTAAAGTTTAAAAAAGCAAAACGATCGGGCCCGATTTTACTCGAATATAGCCGTATAATTAGTCAGCTACGCCACGCTAAGAAATGTGGCCGTACACCTGGAATACTATAAAGTATAATAATAAAGGGACGGGTATACGAGAAAACCACGAACCAGGGCGGACCGGAATATATTGCTATTAAGGTCCGGGGACGTATAATCGGAAATTATTAAAGCGCATAATTTTAAAGCCGAATTTAAAATAAAAAGCGAAACGAGTCTTTTAGATTATAGCGATAATAAAAAGAAAATTTCAATTTAATTAAGCTATATATATAAACGAAAGGTAAATTTTAGTTTATATAATGCCTAGGTAATATTAAGCTATATCTGCCATTTAAAACATAAAGCTTTTTATATTTTTTTTTAAATAAAAAATTATAAACAGCTATTAAAATAAATATAATAAAAAATATTAGTTTTAGCGTTAAAACTTATTAAATAAAATAAAAACGGAGCTATCGGATTTCCCGAGCCGGATTTAGGGCCCTAAAAATAGCCGAACAATAATTTATATTAAAAAAATATATATTTATATATATAATAAAAGGAAAAATAAAAACTTAGAATCCGTATAAACATATAATCTATTTATTTTAAATATATAATCGCAGGTCGATTCGGAAGGTTATCTGCAAATCCCTGCTAATATTACCGCTTCCGTCCCCTATTAAGCTTAAATTAGCCAAATTAATTTAAATTAATCTATCCTAGCCATTTAAATTAATTTATAATAAAAAACCAACTACGTAATAATTAAACTTATTCTTATTTTTTATATATACCGCGCGGCGGCTAGTATTTATTTTGCTAGCCTTTTATATAATAGCCTAACGGGAAAATAGCGGAATAAATTTATATATTATTATTCGCAAAAATTTTAATAAATCGTTAATGCTCTTTTAATTTTTATAACGTTAGCTTTAATTCGCCGTAGCTTTTTAATCGTAAACGCGATTTTTTTACGGATAATATATACTTTCCGTTCGGTTTTTTTAAAAAGCTTTTTAAGCTTAATAATATTTTTTTAATATAGCGGCATATCCGGATTTTATAGCTATTTTTTAGCCTAATAAAAAAGCGTATATAGCTTATTTTAAGGCTTAATCGTAAAATAAAAAGCGGCGGCGTCCTCGGAATCTTTAGACCCGGTGGCAATTTTGCCCTTTTTAGCCTTTTTTTTTGCGGTTTTTAGTTAAAAATCGTCTTTACTCGTAAATCGCCGATTTATTTTTTAGCTCGCCCTTTTTACTAGCTACGGCGGCGCGTTCCTCCTCCGATTTCTTTTTTTTTCGCTTTTTATAATTTTAATAATCCTTTTTTCGGGTTTTAAACAGTATAATTTATTTACCCGTTAAGCGGTAATAGCCTTACTTTCCTGCCTTTTTTTCTTTAACTCCGCTATAAACTCGAGGCCTTTACGGTATCTTTAAAAAAAGGTTAATTAAAAAAAACAAATAATAGGTTATAATTTATTAAAAAATCATTTAAATCTAATCCCCGCGCCATATTAAAAAAAGCTATAATCAGCTATTTTAATTTAAATATTAAATATTAATATTGCTAAAATTAAAAAAAACTATAATAAAAAATTAGCAAAAAGTTTAAATCACTTTATTATAAATAAATATCGCGGGTTTTTTTATAATAATCCTTAACCTTTTTTGCTTAACGTTCGGCATTATCACTTTATTTTTTAGGCGACGCTAATTAAATGCTTAATATTTATTTTTTAAGCGTCGAATAAAAACGCCTAATTATATGCTTTTAATACTCGAAAACATATTAATATAAACAAGGTTTATAATTATATATTTTATATAAATAGCCTATTTGCATTAGCTTTTTATATAAATTTATAATTATAATATTATAAAATTAATTTTAGGTTTATTTCCCGGGCTTAATTTGCGGCCCGGGTAATTATCGGTAATAATTAACTTAAATTAATTTAATTTTATATTTTATTTTATATATTAATAAGCTAACTAGGCTTTTTAATAGCAATAAATAAAGGTATACCTAAATATATAATAATATACTTTAAATATAATACTAATTAAATAAAAAAAGCTTCCTTAAAAACGCGTAATCTAGCTAGCCAGGCCTAATTATACGTTAAAAAAAAGGTTTATCTTAATTAATTAATATATTATAATATATAATCGCGGCAAACGCTAATCTAGCCCGCTAACGCCATAATAACAATAATAATAATTAAATATTAAGCTATTTATCTAATAAATAATATTACTTATTTATTATTTTTTTATAGCTATTTTCGCATTTTATTAGATTTTAAAATACGATTTATAAAATGCGATTACGCTATATTTAGGAAATCCCATTTTATGCGCTTAATTTTACCTTACGGCGGGCACCGACTACTATAATTAATTAATACGCCCCTAGCCCGCTATAATCGGGGGAGGGCAGCGCCGCAAAATAAAAATAAAACGCCTAAATAAATAATTACGCTTAACTTTTAATTATTAATCTATTATACCTAATAAATATTATAATTATATAGATAAACAGATTTAAAGCTAAATCTATTTGTATTAATTTTAAATACCCTTTTTAACGCTATATAATAGCACTAGACACCCGCCTTTATCGCGCTTAAAGGGATTATCCCTCCCGACGCCCTTAAAATACCCTCCAAAATCAGGGGGTCCCTCTAATTGCCCTCCAAAATGCCTTTGCGGCTCTTATCGGCCCTTATCGGCCCTCCTCGGGAGAGGGAAAACCCTCCTGAGACAGCCTTTTTAGGGGCCAAAATTACCAAAAATGGCAATTTGCCCTCACTGATAGTCGCAGTGTATGAGCATCCGGCCGTCAGCAGTGTTGGGTGGGATGTCATGTGTTGTTGGGTCAGCTTTTCTGCTTGGCATTTGCTGGGCTCGGCTTGATATGGTGGATGGAGCATATGAGACGGGGCAAATTCCAGAAAAAAAAATGCTTTTGGTGTGATTGTATTTGATGTGCCAATGGTAAGCCTAGGCATGCTGTAAATGCATTTGCATTGGCATTATATTCTGATACTAGCCTGTAATAATTTTACATACGATTTAGCATGAACTCCAATCTATGACTCCAAGTCTATATAGTTCCATCTTCGGACTGCGGCCCATCCGCCGCCTCTTCACGGTCTTTTGTCTCGCTGAGACGTACAAAAGCGAGCAACACTACACCAAGACTGCACAGTGCAGCGACGCCTAGATAGGGCAATCCAATCCCAAGTCCCCCAGCCTTCATACCGGCGGCAAAGAGCCCGGCCAGCATGGGCATTGCGTACAGGCTCCCGACAATCTGCATGACGCCCATCAAGCTAAAGGCCCGCGTGCGCTCCTCGGGGCCCACGTAAAACGTCAGCGCGCTGGTGACGTAGCTCCCGGCGCCGGAGCCGAGCGACATGACCAGCAGACCGCAGACAAAGGCCGGCAGCGACGTCGACAAAGCCATGATGACGGGGCCGGCAATCAGCGGCGCAAAGGACCAGCGCATAAAGGCCAGGTCGCGCCGTCTCTCGTCGGCCATACGCAGCCAGCGCGGCGCCGTTGGCCGCAGCGACCACTCGGATAGCCACGGGATGGCGACGAGTATGACGAGCACGTGCGCCGCGCCGTACGCTGCCTGTACGTAGCCCGTGTACGCGAGGTGGATGTGGTACCGCTTGGACACGAACTGGGCCATGAAGGATGCTGTCGAGTAGAAGACGGGCATGACGGTGACGGCCGCAGTGAGCAGGAGAAAGACCACGGACGGGGTTTGCAGCATGGGTAGTGAGTCCTTGAGCTCGGCTAGAGACCGTGACAGCCGCGCAGAAAATGTCGCGTCTGCGTCTTGCTCTTCAGTCTCCGCCGTTGCTGGAGTGTCGGTGCCCACGTCGGGCTTAGTGGAGAGAGTCTCGGGTACGAAAAGAATGCCGACAATTGGTATGGAAATGAGCACCAGCGAGAACCATACCAATGGCCATGGACCCGTGTGTGGCATGAGAATCGAGGCCAATGCAGGCGAGACCAGGTTGCCAAACATGCTAGCGACGTGGATACGCATGATACTTATGGCTCTAGATATTTGTGTTAGTCTTGCACTCTTCCGGAAGAGCGTTGAACCAAACTTACCGATCTGCTTCGGGTAAAACGTCGACCAGCATTCCGCAGACGGCGGCGTTCAAGACTGCGTTGCCACCGCCGACAATTAAGCCAAGCGGTGCGAGCCAATACAGGCGTATGGGCAGCGCGCTGCTAAAATATACAACGGCCATTTGCCAGAGACTCATGAGGATCATGCCAAAAAGAGCCAGAGCCCAAACAGGTCGTCGACCGACTCTGGAACAATTTAGCATGGACGAACAAACCCAACCCCCCCAAGAAAAATGACGAGGAACTTGAACAGACAAACATACCGATCAGCGACAAAACCCCATGGCATGGCCACCACACAGCCAACGGCAGCTTCAATAAACGAGTGCACGGCCACTAGGTAGGCCAGCCGGGACTGAATCACATCGACCTTGCACAAGTCCTCGTCAATGGGCTGGAACGACGCGTCGTCGTCGCCGCCGCCGCCGCCGCCGCCCAGAGACTGCGTGGCGCCATAGTAGTACTCGCGGCAGAAACGGTCCTCCAGGATGCGCGTCATGGTGATGCCCGTGAAGCCGCCCGACGACGAGCCGAAAAAGATGAGCACGCACATGATGGCCACAATCCTGTGCGGGTCGTGGACCTTGGGCAGCGCCGCCAGGCTGCTGGCGATCGAGGCCCGCGACATGGTGCGCTTGCGGCGCTGCCATGGTCGTCCGGGCTGGGCGGCAGACGACGGCAATGTTGGTGCGCTGGTTGCCTTGCCATTGTCTTCGCCTTGATTGCCAAGCAGAGGTGAGCTCTCGTCGGCGCCATTGACGGTGCTGCTGCTACTGCTGCTGTTTTGAAGAAGCCCCATGATTCCTTTGTTTTATTCGGGTTGAATTGCCGATTTTCCAAGAAAAAGGAAAAGAGACCAACTCTTCTGTAAGTGCCCCGAGGTGCGGGCTGCCAAGTTATATGATCTGAATTCCTTGCCGGAGATGCAGATGTTTTTTTGCCCGTCAGCCTTTCGGAGTGAAAATCCCCCCCACGCCGGCACGCCAGCCAGGACCAATGATCACTTGGATGTACACAATTGCGTTGTGATTCAAGGGAAACCAAGTGATCTTATTCGTTTGTCGCGTCGATTTCATTTCTCATCGAGAGGTCGAAAAAAATACGGCTGCCTGTAAAACGTGCCAAATCAGCAGAAGTTGGCGGGGAGCTTCAGCTCCGGGGGATTCGGTATTGGAAGTCGGAGTTCGGCGTCGGTCTCAGAATGCGGCATTCCTACGGCGCAGGCAGGGTATGAACCTTGCTAATGGGTGGCGTGCAACCAATGCAAAAAAAAAAGGATTAAGATGAAGATTACAATCGATTCCATCTTTCACAATCAACAACAGGTAAGATGACGTAAAGTGCAGTAGCGATTCTAGTTCAAGAGTTAAAGATATAGGTGAGGCTATCATCAGTTGGTGAACTTTTTATGCGAATTGCGCATCATTCTGCATCTATGACCTAGACAGTGGACCAAAAGCGGAAGCGACTATTCTCTGATCATGAAGAAGAATGGAAAGGATGAATACTTTTGATTTATTTCTATATATTCCCCCCCTTTCCCAATCAGATCTTAGGATCATGAAGCGATATATCGCAGTGTTAGAAATTCATAGTGTTGTCTCTCTCCCTTGGTGGCATCCGATTTCTTGCCTCGAGTATGCAAATCCATATAATTTTACATTGTCGTCACCGTCTTCATGATTCCAAGGCGGGTGTTACTTGTGGTTTGTTGATTCGACCCCTTCAGTCTGTAGTCGCAGTGACAGCACAAATTCCCTACACTAGATAGTCATTGGGGGACAAGGAGTATGCATGAATGATCGTCGACAAGTCAATGGAAATCGAAACAATCCGCTTGGTCGCAAAGCGTCGCTCTATATCAAACCGTCCTTACTCGTCTTGAGCAGATCTTCATTGCGGATGCGATCCGACCGCTGCTGCAACACCGATTAGGTGGAGTGATGATGGGACAGCTCGATTGCGGGGGACCGAGTGTCGATTTAGTTGGGCTCCGCTCTTTTTGTTGGCGATCATCGACCTACTCAACGACTATACTATAGTGTGCAGAATTCGGCTTGCCGTATAGCACGTTTAGTGCTTCACTTAGCCCTGCCAATCGCGTCACTCATCGCACTTATCAGCGACTTGTTTGGTGCAAAATGGGCTGTTGCACATTGCACCACTGTGGCAACTGGGTCAGGTCAGATGCATATGCAGGAACGAATGTGACCCAATAATGCCCCACAGACTGATTACTGAAGTGTAAGATTGTTGTGTGTTGATACTAATCTATACTACAAAGTCGTGGGGCGGGAGTACTGTCGTTCTTCCTCGTGCCCCATCGGGATGTTCCTAATTATTTGCACATCTGCTCCTCTCAGGAACAAGGAGCTCAGAGCAGATCATGTGTATATCGCTTTCAGTATCTAGTAATTCAAAAAGTGTGAAAAAAAAAGGAGGGAGGAAAAAAAAGAAAATTGCCTCTATAGGGCGCGAAACTTGGGGATCACGGCCCTTTGGCACTCCAACATTGATACGGCTAGAGGTATCGAATAATTGGGAGGGGGGTATAACAGCACTCATATGCGTCATGATAATGCTCCTATATTCCCGCTTGGGCAGGAATATTGGCTTTGTTATGCTGGGGGTGGCCAGATCAAGTACAAATAATTTGTATTGGCACAGGACGACGGCGGTGGTGGTGATGTCTTTGACTGTCTTCAACTCTCTATCTCCCGGTCTTGCACGTCCTTTCACGGCAAAGACCTCTCATCGAGGGGAGACCGAGAAGTGTAGTCGGGGCTGGAGACCCGGTTGGTGCCGGTGTTGCCGCCGGGGACGTTGGTAACGCGGACCATGGTCTCGCTGGTGACGGTGATGCCGTTGCCGTTGCCGCCAATGTTGGGGCTGCGGGCGGCGCCGCCCTCGTCGTCGCTGGAGCTGCGACCGCCGTCGCGGTGCACGCCCGTGATGATGGTGCGGGTGCCCTTGTGGCGGTCGAGGGCGTGGGCCTCAAAGTCGCTGTGGCTGTCGCCGCCGTGCACCGAGTCGGCCAGCTGGTAGGTCGAGCTGTCCTCGTCCTGGTCGGATCCCCGCTTGCCCGGCATGGTCGAGAGCTTCATTGACTTTTGGTGGTGGCCGGGCTTGTTGCTGAGGCCGTACGTGTTGGAGCCGGACCGCAGCGTCGATCGGGGCAGGAAGCGGCCAAAGAAGAAGGTAAAGGCCGGGCGCACAGTTGGGAGACAGGCTGGTGCTGTGAGTCAGCAAATGGAATCCAAAAAAGAAAAAAAAAATGATAATGTTGCCAAGATAGGGAGTGTGTCAAGGGTGCTTACAAGAAACCGTGACCAAGTTGACCTCAACGGTGGCCCAGATTACAATATCGGTAATGTTCCATGAGAGATCGATGCTCGCAGCATCAAAGTTCACGGAAGTGATGATAATACCGACGGCAGCGACACAAATGCTAATCCAAAACAAATCAGCTGATGAGTTCCAAGAGCTTTTGGTTAAATCTCCAGGGCGTGCAGAAGCGAACTTACAAGATACCAAACATGAACATGGCAATAATACCAACCCTCTGCAGCTTGGGCAAGTGCAGCTTGCGGACCTGAATGATGGGGAGTGCCAGGATGGCGATGTCGAGACACACGTGGGCCAAGATACTGCCAAAGAAGAACTGCTTGTCGTTGATGGCGCAGTAGGAGCCGGGAATATCGAGCCAGAAGGCCTGGACGGGCGTGCAGTGGAAGATACCAAGGAAGGTCTATGAAAAGGGCCGTAAATCGTCAGCACATCGATCCTTGTATTTTCCATAGGTCGGTGGACAAGAACTCTGAGCTTGGGGCAGTCTGCTTACTCTAATAGTGATCCAAATGATGGAACAAGCCATGAGCACAATGATGGGAATCTTGATGTCGGTGACGGAAAAGAGGCGCCAGTAAAAGCAGAGAATCGACATCTTGCCAAAGAACAAGGCAAAGGCGTAAAAGAGCTCGGCAATGTAGAGCAACAATTTGTTCCAGTACAACGTTTCGGCCTGGGTGAGCCATGTCACCTCCTCAATGTGCACGCCCAAGCCTTTGCTCAGCCCTATTTGAGTAACGACACATGTCAGCAAAATTCTGGTTATCAAGCCATGTATTATATATGATTGGAAAGATGGATTCGGGGAATTTTTTTTCTTTTTTTGTATTGGGGCAGAGAAGAGGAAGAAAACCTACATATTGGACATATGATGAGCCAGGCTATAGCGACAACCTGTATTGTTTGCCAAATGTTAGAAATCCATTTCTGCATTCTGCATTGCATGGTCCAGACGGTAAACTCACATAACAGCAAATGGCAAATGCATCGTCCCACCAGAAATATGCCTTTGTCAAGTGACGACTGTGCAAACGAAGGAAAATGGCAATGCTGGCAAAAATGAATGTAATGATTAGGACCGCCCACTCGGCCGACTGCTTGGACACCATGGCCGCGACTTTTTCCCTTCTCTTCTTTATTTTTCACTGCGGCCTCTTTCTTCCTTGTTTCTTTCGATTTGACGTTTCGGTGGGTTTTAAAAGAGTGTCGTACGCAAAGAAAGCAGGGACCCAGACGGGCTTGGTCACATTCAGACGACACCGTGATATATAGCAATGTTCAGTGTGGTAGAAAACGGGCTATAGAAAGGGACCATTTGGGACATGTCCTATCGGGTGTGGCGCATGCGTAGTACTCCCACACTCCGTACTCTGTATCTCCTAGTCTGGTCCAACCTGCGGGTGCTAAACGTCCCTATTTTCTGACTCGAAAATGATAGAGAGAGGGAAGAACACTACTGGTCTGTCATCAAATGGTACTTACATTTTCGAGATTCATCGTCGTGGGACCTTTTTCACTCTTTCTCACACGTTCGAATATCATTTCATGCAACGAGACAGGAACTAGCAGTTTAAACTTCGGCTTGCGATGCTTAGCCGGACACTCGCGCGACACGGTGCCATGGCTAACAGTCGTCTAGTCGAGACATCTGCACGATCAATTTCATTGCCAAGGCTCTTGCGTTAAGAGCTTTTCCGAAGCCGTAGGCCTCTACAATCCACTAACGAGAATTCTCCCCCAGATTTTCCATAGGATGCCACTACTAGCAGGAGGAAAAGGGGAGCGAAAAGATCCAGGAGGGAGATCTGGCGCTAGGCATGCCAGCCGATCGAGGGAGATCCTCTCAAGTGCCTGGTGCCCCTCTCCTGTCCAAGGCATTGGGAAACCGGGTATTCAGCCACCAGAACTCCCACTATGCTTATCCAAGGAGGATCTGCATGCAGCGAGATTGACTCGACAGCTCGGCTCGGGGGTTCTTGCGACCACAGTCGAGTTGAACACGGCCGAGAGAGACATGCAAAAGCAAGCAATCCTTGTGTAACCCGGGAATGCCTTGTATACTCGAGGCCTCTCACAATACCGTGTTGGTTGGAAGAGATGAATTGTGGTGCTTCATGATTATAGGTTATACTTGGTCCCCCACCAAGAGAGCCAGTCATTTTGTTGTTCTCGAGGATAAATGGAGAGTCTCATCAGGGCAATTATCCTATTTGGGCAACTCAGATGATTATTGCCTCGAGATGCAAGTTCTGGACACATTGTTAATCTCTAAATGATCCGTCTAGGTCAGATCGGGGGACTGTTGGTGCCATGCATAATTGCTGAGTAACGACGGCAGGATTGCCCCCTACACTAAGAAGAAGAAATCTGACTTCTCCTATGCATGGGCGCGAGACGCCTGGAAAGCACCCAGAATAGAGAGTCAAGTTCTATCAGAGATGACTCGGCAGGTAACTGCATGACGCGGCTCTCGCTTCCCGCTTCGCTGGGAACTTTGCCGACCTGATGACAGTCTGCAGGTGCCAGAAGAGCCGTTGCAGCTTTGGTTTGCGGGATGGAGTCGGCCCTTCAAGGACCATTCGTACTGGCCTGCCATAGTACGGATTCATAACGATCCGAGTCAGCTTGGTCCCTCCGGGAGATGGTTCCGGCGCCCGTTGGAGCAGGTGAACGGCGTGAAAACCAAGTCCTCAAGCAGTCAAAGGTCACTACGACGCGTCTGCGTCCAGCAAACTTTATCCGGGGCCTAGCCCGACGCGTAAACCAGTCACCGCAAAAATATCGGTTAAGGGTCCTCGCGCTAGCCAGCAGACTACTCGTCATTGCCTTGTTATATAATCATGACTCGACCAATTACTATCGTTGATCGCTGAATCCCCATAAGGAAACCAGCCCAGCAAGCTACCGGGAAACCTTCCGATAAGAGTCGATTCGCTGCTTGGCTAGAACGGTGCCGTTTGATGTCTAGCCTGACCAAAGCGCATCCTTCTGTATTATGTAGGTGCAGTATTGTTATGCTAGAGTGTAGTGCCCAATGGGTACGGCTTTCATGATCCCATCGCTTCATTCACCGTCGAGTACGAGCTTCTTGAGAACTTGATATGGCGTGAACAAAGAAGCTTTTTCATACTTGTTCAAAATAATTGAGATCATATTGGCCTTGCTACGAGTTTGGTAAAGTCTCCCGAGTAAGCGTAGACGGCGTCGAAACAAATTTCAGATCGTGTCGGGCAGTTGGTTTGGTGCTCGGGTAGTGGAGGTCAACGAACTTTTCGGCCTCCTTTGACCAAGACGTGCGGGTCTGAGTGGCCCGCCAAGATGGGAAATCCTCTAGTGTTTCTTTCCAATAGAAAGCGACTTGACGGAAGATCCGCTGCGTACGCAACATGGAGTAATGCTATTGGCTTCTAGGCTTGTCGACGCACAGTCTACCTGAACCACGAAATGAGGTGACAGATGTACGACAGCTAGGGCAAACGTTGCACCAAAGATTGCTTCCGAGAACCGTTAGGCTGGTACGAGCTGCCTCGATCGACCAGACTCTAGTTCGGAACTTTCCTTGTGTGCAGCCTATAACAGCACACCCCTGTTTGACATACACAAAATTGAATGCCATGTTGCTGTCCTGTCAGACACTTAGACTAATTGTCTGTTGCCAGCGTCTTGAGGATCAGGGGCATCTGATTCGAAGCATGCGCCACCTTAGTCGATGCCGTGAATAGGTAATGGACCTATGATTAGTATTCCACAATTGGCTCCCGAGAGATTGGTACATCTCCAGTAATGTTTTCTTTTATACGAGGCTAGCATTGACGGAAAACTGGTGGAAAAGCCCGCGGTAGTCGTGTGTACAAACGCTGATCCCGAATTGAGAAAAAAAGGGGGTTTATTGTCATCTGCCGAAGATGATCATCCATTTTACCCACCCATACCGTACAGTAACAGCACTTGGATTGTTTATTCTCCGTCTAGTTCAGTGCCTTGACCTTCTCCTTCCGAGTCCGAGTCAAAATCAGGGTCCGGCATAACGACATTGTTCAGAAAGGTGACCTGCGGTATGTCAGCCATTGGTGTGAAGGGTTGTGCATATCCGCGTACGTATTCAACCATTGGAGAGATGATGGCCATGATCTTCTCTTGGGCATCGCTGCTAGTAAGGTCCGAATCCTTGATCTTGCGACCCACAGTATAATTGCGCAGCTTCAATAGCTCAATGTCACGATGTTCTGGGTTAAACCCCTGGCGGCCCAAGTTTGTTAGTGTACCAATGGTCATGTTGGATATTTTGTAATCAACATACCTGAGGCCGGATCTTCAAGGCGTTTTCCTTATTGGACTCGCAGAATGCCGAAATGACAGAAGCTTCGTCATTCTTGGCCTTTGGAAGGAAAGCGCTTCTAAATTCAGGGTTCATGAGAATACGCCGTAGCCTATGTGGCCGCTCATCCACATTGGCGCGCAGTTTTGCGAGGGCATCCTTATCAGGATGCCAGAGGCCACCACCCACAAAACAAGACCCTGGCTCGCAGTGTACATAATAACAAGCGTACGGACCTTTACGGCCAGTTCGCGACCACGCAGCAGAGTAATGCGGCTTTCAACCCAGAGTCAACTCCTGACCAAGAAGAAAAAAGTGCTACGATGGGAGTTGGGGGAACTTACTTTGTATGGAGTAGGATCCTTGGAGAAGCGAATATCTCGATATATTCGAAAGATGACATCTCTCAAAGGAAGCTCAGGAATGGTTTCATCGGCTTCGATGATTTTCTCCGTGAGTGTCTCGACAAAAGCCTCCCAGTCTTTGAGAGATCGACGATACTCGGGGTCTCGCACTAGAATCATGTCAGCGAAAACGTCCTCCATGGGTTGATGACGAGCTTACTCTTGAGCCACGACCTCTTGTTGTTTGCCTTGAGATCCTTCAAGAATGCCATGGTGTTGGGATGGACAAATTCTGGTTCATATTCAACGCCACCGGTGTCGCGCAGTTGGGGAAGCGGGATGAACTCGACACGAGGGGACTCATCATCGTCACTATCATCGTCCAAGACCTCTTCATCCTCTGATTGAGGCTTTTCCTTCTTTAGCGGTGGTCGACCGCGACCCTTTTTGCGTGGAGTTTCAGCATCATTGGCATTACCTGCTGGCCTCTTCTTGGAGTTGGGTTTGGCTTTGGGTTGGGGCTTGGGTGGTCGCCCTCGGCCCCTTTTCTTGACTTGGACAACCTCTGAATCGTCTTCATCCTCGGTAGCTTCATCCTCACTAACTTCATCCACTTGGAGCTCATCGGAGCTTGAGTCGACCTGCTTAGCTTTCATATTGCGCTTTGGGGTCTGCTTCTTCTTGTTGGGTGGGGCCAACGAATCCTCGGACTCATCGACGTCATCTTCAAAATAGCGACTTTTAGTGCCTGAAGAGCTCAATCGCGAGGACCTCCGCATGTTGATGGAATTGAATATTGAGATTTGGACATGTACAAGTAATATCAGGTGAGTTCTGGCAGGAGGTGCAGAAAATAGACCTCAGCGCTGAAATGTATGGAGGCATGTACAAAGTAGGAGGTACGGTAGTGTCGTAGCAGGTATGTAAGGTACAGTACTCTGTACATCAATCAGCAATAGAACAGCAGTCGCGTCCAAGATTTCCAGCGCTAGACTCGCGACGCGCCCCACACTTTTAGGCAACCCAATCCCCATTCCATCAGTAGCCACTACTACTGGCACCTCCTATGGGCCCTTACCACAGGGACGCCGTGATATAAGCAATACATTAAGGTACTCATACCACTTCAACATCTTCGCCTGCAGCTGGAAACAGTGCCTTATATCGCTGTGTCGGTGCTTCAAAGCTGAACCTCTCGTGAAAGATATCCCAGAGCCGCATCCGGAGCTGTCATACAAGTCGGAGGCAATGCCAGCAGCAATGCATCAGTCTGTCAGGCATTGGCAACAAACAGCAGCCCTTCAAAGCCTGCCTCTGCACGCAGTTCTCAGGCTTTGCTGGCAGCTATATTTACTACCCCCGAGAAACATGCAGCGACGCCGAGGACAATGCGAGCAAGGCACCGAGCTGCACTTGTCCATTGAACCTCATGGATAAAATGCAATCCTTCGACTTGGAGGGCCGATGCAACCAGGATACGTAGCTGACTGCGCCCCGAGGCTCTGCAACGGTACGAGGGAGCGGCTGGGCAAGCATGGGGGCAGAGGTCTGGGGATGCTCACTTAACCAATCGTCTCACAGCTTTATGCGCCACCAAGGAGAGCTGAAAATGCCTATTTGGTACAACTCACCGGCAGTCCAAGACTACAAGAGAGTCGATCCAGCACTGTTGGTTTGCGCCCGCCGGCTGGCTAATTTTTCGAGACAACGAGTCTCTTTTTACCTTGTAGCCAATCACGGCCATGGATCCTCTGTCAATAACGACATCAAGTCTTGCATTGATCACCGTCGTCGCGAAAACCAGCATTGCAATCACCACCTTCATCCGTGAATGCCGCGAAGCTCGAGGAGATTTGACCTCGGTAAATCGGGAGCTGTCCGAGTTAAAGATTGTCCTGGAGCTTCTCCAGGAAGACACTGCCGACCAGAACAGCGAGCTGCTTCTTTCAGAATCGCTTCGAGCCCAAATTCTGAGTATAATTCATAACTGTGGCGATGTCTCAACAAAAGTCGAGCAGGTCCTCACAGATCTGCGTAAAAGCCGCGTCGGTGCCATCAAATGGGTATTGGACCGCAAAAAAGAAGTCGCGAGTCTGAAACAGTCTCTCGAAGCACATAGAAGTGCTCTCAGTCTGGCTTTGGAAATGGTCAATATGCGAGTGAAATCAATCAAAGCCCATTGTGTCACATCTCTGATGAGTATACAGCTCCATCACCAAAGCCGTCAAGGAAGACACTGGTGTAATCAGAGAAGATGTTGTAGAGATCAAGCAAGATACTGCACAGATTCTAGACGAGATCGAAAGATTGAAGGAGAGGCTACCCTTGTCAGATCGCGACTTTGTCATACAGGGATATCTCGATTCTCTGACCACATACGCTGCCACCGTGTACGATGCACTGGACGACGATGAAAACGAGATCAAAGATGAAACGGGGCACGAGTCAGATCCACCGTCACCAGAAGTCGGCCCTTCGATACATCCGGTACTGGCTCCAGCGATCGAAGAAAAGGATACGGCACTCTTGAATAAAGCAACATCAGATCATTCTATTGGTGATGAAGGCCCGGCACTCCAGATATCGCCTCAGAATGCCCCGGATAAGTTACTACAAGAAAGATTGCAAGCACTAGAGGAGCCAGTCCAACACGGAGAAGAAACACAAACATCAAAGGAGTCTGTTGCTCACTTTCACAGCGCCTCAACAGGCAAGATCCGCGTCGGAGCGATCGAAAATTCCCAAGTGAATGCCGAAAGTTCAAGTCAACTATCCAAAATAGTGGACGAACCTCGATTGGGCCACAATTATGATGCAACTCGCATTCATACTCCAGATTATGACAATGATGAATATCGCGACTATGACGGCGGCTACGATCATTATCCTTACGAAGATGGTGATGACGATGAGGGTCATGACGATGACGAGGGTAGTGGTTACAGTCCAGATTATGACGATGGAGAAAATCACGACTATGAAGAAGATCAATATTCTGACGATCACTATTTCGGCGAAGAAGATGAAGAAAATGATGATGATGAAGGTCGTGGTTATAGTCCAAATTATGACCAGGATGACGATCATGAAGAGTTTCGTAACCAGATTACTGGCGATGAAAGTCCGCATCATGGTGATACTAAGGAGGAGCGGTCCCCTCCATCACGCCCACGTGGGATAGAGGACAGACATACAACTGGTCCAAATGTCTCTATCGCATATTCTAATGTTTCAAACCAAGGGCTGCAAGATGCGGATCATCAAAAGACTGGGAGACAGCCAACTACTGTACCCACCGAGGCCTCTCACGAAGAACGGCGTACCCCCCATCCCCTCCTGACGACGACGGAACCGGAACAGGTTCAAGCATTCCCGCCATCTTCACAAGGTAATGTCAGAAACTCCATGCTAGTTTTGGGCTCTACTCAGATGAACCAGGTCATGCATCCAAAATCAAACATATCGTGAGCAGTGTCTCGGGCTCGCAGAGCAGCCCGCTATTTTGGCCTAGTCGAACAGAGTCCTGCTCAATATCCACCATCAAGTCTGGCGATTTGGGAACTATTACGAAAGGCACCAATCCTGTCATTGCCATGGGTCTTAGCCAGGACGGCGTTTATGGTGCATTCGTCCAGCAGGACAGAACTATCTCCGTCTGGGACCTAAGACAAAATGCCCAAAAAGGCCGCGGGTTCAAACGCAAGCGTTTCGGACTTACAAAGCCGGACATGGTTCAGATCATCAAGAACGAGGAAGCCGCTTTCAATGATGTTCACCTCTACGTTTTGCTATATTCATCCACCGAAGCCGCGTATGAGCTATACGATGTGGGAATGAAGAAGCAATGGTGGAGTTCAAAGGGAGTACATTACCCCAGGCTCTTCAACAATCTCTGCGTGCTGTCTGTTACCAATGATGGGGAGCTTGAGATGTTGACAAAGAAATGGACCACCAAAGTTTGGCGTTCCACCATTTACATCCCACCCGATAGAAGTCTCAAGGATTATCCGTTTCATCAGCCCCGAATAATTGTATTCGCAGTCAATGAGAGAGGTACTGATATTGCTTATCTCTGCGAAGAAAAGCACTGTTATGTCGCCAAAATTAATTTCGATTCAAAGACTTCTATCAATCCATCGATCGACCGTGTCTCCTCTGGGCCCCTCCTCACTCATTTTGACTCTGGTAGGCACATTCCAGTAGGCATGGCCTTAAGCACGGAATACGATCGAGTCGTGACTATCTGGACATCAAAGCGTGACCTCAAGTATGGATCTAGGGATACCATATTCGTCAACGTCTGGGACCAGCCGTCGCAATCACCGACGACAAACCGTACCTACGCATTGCCGAGTGACAGGCTGGACCCACTGTATCAACTCCAGCTGAGCAAAGGCTTCGTGTTGATCCTGTCAAAACACCTTGATGGATGTCAGGTATTGGACTTGAGAGCATGCAGGGGAAACGAAGAGGGCGCAGACGGCGTTTGTCGAGCCAGCTATTGTAATCCATGGAGCAGCGAGGAAGTCAAGGAAATAATTCCGTACAGTGGAAGAAACCTCTTGTGGAAGGCCTCGCATGTCGACAGCTCATTTTATTCAGGAGTCTATGATTGGAGAGCTGGTTCTTTAAGAGAAGCGGACATCTTTGGCACTGTGTCGGCTATTTAAGTCGAGAATACTATAATGAACAAGAATGCGATTTGACTATAAGACCTTGCACACATGTGTCATTTAATCATAGTGGAAATACTTTGACCAAGATCTGGCGCTCCCAGAAATGATACCATTGAGCAAACTTGGATGAAGCAAGCTCGGAATACTCGGGCACTTTACTCTATTACTTCAAATTGGTAGTTTTCTCATATGAAATCTGAAGCAGCTTTCGCTAAAGCGACACAACGTGTTCTCAAGTACAACTGATCAGCTGTATCGTCGATAAGAAAGAGCCAGTGCTGGAGGCGACGTCATGTCGGTCCTGGCGTCTCAATTGGGACCCACGCCGACCGGTCACCACCCTTGCACCTTGTCCGCCTACGCCACTTGTATACCCGACATTTTACTCAGAAAACAATCTAGTATATTCGAGGTGCTTCATGACTCCGGCCCCCTCTCTCCTTGCAAGCATTGACAGTAATGTGTACGCAAGATGTGGTCTCTTGCCATCATCCTGGATTTCCTTGCCGCGAGCTATAAAGTGGCTGGGCGATGGATCAAGTACCGACGTGAACCATTTCCTCTGGGCGGGAACGGTCCGCGAGCTCCAGCACATCACCACGTCGCGCCTGACTTGCCGACTCACACCATCTTTTCGCCGGCGAACCTGTCTCCCGGTGAGAAGCTGCCTCTGCTGGTATGGGCCAATGGCTTTGGCCTGTCATGGGGTCTCATGTTTGGCGACTTTCTGCGCGAGATTGCGTCGCACGGATACATTGTCATTGCCAATGGTACACCGACTGGCCTGGGGATGACGGATGAGACGGGACAGCTGCAGGCAATCCGCTGGGCTACCCAGACTTCAGTATCCGGCGACGACGTGAAAGACATTCGGGACCACATAGACGGCGCCAAGATTGCGCTGGCGGGCCAGAGTAAAGGTGCAATTCACACGTATATTGCTGCCAGCACCTTGCGTGATAACCCGGCGGTCAAGAGCCTTGGCATCTTCAACTCGGGTCTCATGCGCCGCCGTACCCGGGATCTGGCGCTCGTCAGTGGTCTGGCGGCCTCGGTGTACTATTTCGTCGGCGACGAGAGGGATGTGCTTTTCAAGAATGCGGGTCGCGACTGGAAGCTGATACCCAAGGGCATTCCAGCGTATTTTGCCAGCTTGCCCACGGGACACTTGGGTACCTTTTATGAAGAGTCGGGAGGCTTGTTTGCCATGGCTACTGTCAACTGGCTGGATTTTGAGCTCAAAGGTGACGAGTCGAGTAAACAAAAGCTGCTACAAGCTGGGGACGGATGGAAAATACAGTCTCGAAATCTATGAATTCATGTATGTCATCACTATGTCGCAATTCCTTCCCGGAAAAATAAGAGGGGTGAGTCTATGAGCGTACAGCTAAATTAAAATCAAACCAGAGTCCGAGATTCAAGAGACGGACCCTTTCAAGACCAGTCACCATCAAACTCAATCGGCTCCCCCTTTTCAATCTTGGCCATCAGCTCATCGACGGTCCAGTCTTCATGGACATGGCCTCGTGGGATATTCGTGTTGGCGAATTCGGCCCCATTTTGCAAATGCTCTAGTGCCGGGTGGTAGTTATCGTAAGCGTACTTTTCCGGTTCGTGACGCCACATCCATTGGCCTTGCTCCGTCTTAATCTTGCTCGGATCGCGCGACACGGCCTGGGCGTCCTTGTTGTTGCGCCGCGCAAAATTGATGAAGCCGACCTTTTGGCAGCACGAGACCCTCTCGAAGCTAATGGAAACCACCGAGAAACACGTCAGTTTGGCAGCTCTACTCTTGCAAGGTCTTTTATAATTGGGGAAACGTACCGCAGCTTGTTATGGACCCGCGTGGCCCATTGAACATTCTCCTTGCCCCCCAACTCCAGACAGGTGGCCAGGTATATCGCGTCCTCGATGCCCTGATTCGCACCGCTGCCAGAGCTAGGCAGGTACGTGTGCGCAGCATCACCGGCTTGAACTAGCCGGCCGAGGGGTGAGGTGATGATGGGCTGAGGGTTCCTGAGCATCAGCTTCCAGTCCACGATGCCGTCCTCGGGCGTGGCCTTGATCAGTCTCTTGACAAAATCCGGAACGTCTGGGACCTTGGACAGACAGTCTAGTACGGTATCGACCTTGACCGTCTGCTGCCAAGATTCTTGGGCTCCGCCGTCGTCCTGCATGCGCGTGAGTTCGAGTAGCCAGAATGAGATTGTGAGTTGGGAACCTACTTTGTGCATAATACCCCAGCTTACAATGTCATTGGTTCTAAGGATAATCATGTGTACTCCTGGTCTTGATTTGCTTGTGCTCAGCGCTGCTCAACATTTCATAGTGCCGGACGAAGAGAGAAGGGAGAAAAGAAAATGCTTACCCATGCATCATCCGAACGAGGGGATGCCCGTTGTCCAGGATCGCGAGTCCCTCATCAAGTTCCTTATCCTCGGCGATGCGCTCTACGGGAAACGCAGCCCGGAAAGATGCCCATCCACTGCTCCGAGCCCTAACGTCGTGGTTGTTGACTAGCTTGTGGGATTTGGTCCCAATACCATCTGCAGCAACAACGACATCGGCCTCCATCTTCCGCCCGTCATCCAGAACAACTCCACCGACACCTTTGTTCTCATAGTACTCGGTGACGCGGCATCCATATTCGATTTTGATGCCGACCCTCTCGAGCTGCGAGATCAACATTTGCAAAAACTTGGGTCGATGGTGCCGATACATGCGTCTCGGGGTTTCGCCTTGTTGATCATCCTGGACGACGGCAGCGGTTCTTGGCTTCCAGTTGAAAGCCTCGGGGCCCGAGATGACGTCGCCATTAATCTTGGAGTACAGGACCCACGGGTCGACGGCGATGCGCTCATTCTCCTCGACCAGGTCGGGCCAGGTTTGAATGTGGCTAATGATCTGCTGCGTAATGGTGAAGAAGTCCCCCTGGGTTCTTGCAACGGGGCTGCGCTCGATAATGCGGACATTATGGCCCTTTCGCCAGCAGCAGAGCGCCGTGTAAACTCCGACGGGGCCCGCGCCCACGATGAGCACGTTTATTCCGGATGGGGAACTTGGGGAAATGTTCTGATGAAGTCCATGTTTAGATGTCGTGGGGCTGCTGAGGTCTACGGTTAAAGACATGGTGAATATATATAGAATGTCAATGAACGGTTGTCGAGGTTGGAATAGGTTTATCTTGAGATCATGAAAGAGCCGAGTTAGGAAAGTTTTGTGCTTTGGTATTTTGATATGTTACGAGATTGAGAGTATTGGCTCCATTCTCGTTCTTATATGTGAGTCTCATTCGGCGTCAAGAGGCCATGTCGTGTCTAGGCAACTTGTATCCACAAAATTACACGTTGTAATGAGGCCGTTGTATTTTCTTCAGCCGATATGTCCAATGGAGACAAAGATCGCGAATCCAGACTATAATGACAGGCGATGGCACCAATCAGACTGAAGTAGGAATTATGAAAGCTTTGATAGGTAATGATTCCCTACTCTCTGCACAGCCCCTAACCCAAGGGTGAGATGTGTCCGTACAACCCGATCTGCCCGGGCCCGTTGCGGCTCCGATGCTGTGGATTCCAGTCAGCGGGGCCGGGGTATAGCGAAGGGGAATGGCGACTAGTGATCTGACTCGACGCCTCTCATTGGCTGCGTCGGCAAAAATACACGCTAGATTGATCCTAAATTAGATCCAGTGCAAAAGGGTCAGATCATGTTGTGTCAGAACAACTGATGCATTCATTACTGTGGGCGTAGGCAGAGACGGTTGATCAATGAGCCGTGAGAAAGGTTGGCATCTTATCCTTGGGCGACGACGAAAGCTGAGAGAAGGGAGGGGGGGAAATGAATCTTGCTTCATCGACACGACTTGTAACCAAAACAGCAACACTGGCGTCGTCTTGCGTACGCGAGTTGCAATTAGAGCTCGTCCCCGCTTCTCAAGTCTCCTTCTAGTCTCGACTCTCGCGGCTCGGCTCAACCTTTGCGCTGCTGCAACATGACGGGAAGAAATGCCCCTCGATCCAAGAATGGCAAGCCATTCCACACGCATACTGATGAGTATCGGGCCCACTTACTAATATCCTCTCGGCGCATAGGTTGTGCGACATGCCGCATCCGCAAGGTCAAATGTGACGAAACACGGCCCGTCTGTGGTGGATGCTCCAAGATGAGATTCAGCTGTGAATGGCCGGGCCCCGCTGGCATTACTAGGCGGAGAGATGCGGCCAAGTCTTCCCAGAAAACTGTATACAAGGCAAATCAATCAGTACCGCTCCGGCCAGCCTTGGACCGGCGGGTGTTTAGCCACGCCAAGGGTGATGACGGTGCTCACACCGAGTTCCAGAAAGCCTGCATCCAACAGCATCATGGCTACAATGAGGTGCTCCGACCAGGGGTATATCCGAGAGTATTTTCATTGCCAAGCCCGCCCGGGATGGCTTGTGCAAACTCTATCATACTAACTCCGTATGACCGAGTCTGTCTCGATTACTTTCCCGCCACGACAGTATACTCTATCCACTCGACTGGGGCCTGGAGTCCGCTGAACCAGGTACATCGAGACACTGCAGCCTCGAGTAGTATGGTTATGCACATGCTCTTGGCTCATGCTGCAAGCGACATGACCCGCCGAAACCCAGATTCCCACGTCAAGCTGCCGCAATTACAAAGCGGTCTGTATCACTATACTGCTGCTATTCAAGAATTACATAATTGTATTAATCCCAAGAGGACTGCACCCAGTACTCAAGGTTTGGATGCAGTGATAACGACCTTGTTCCTCATGATTCACTACGGCCTGAGATCTGGCTCCTCGCTTCTTCAAGCCAGAACACACTTTGTTGGTCTGAAATCCTTACTGGCCAGTTGGCTTCAGTCGATATACCCTACAGACCGTGAGGGCACCAGTGCTAACCAGCAGCTGTCGGCTCTGTCATCACAACTCTTGATATGGCTTTTGTAAGCATTTGCAGATCTTCTTATATCGGACTATTGTCGATAAAATAATGTTTCCGGTACTGACTCTGTGCAGATACAGTGATGTCGGCGGTACATGTTCGGGAGCTATTGCCGAGCTCGTTAACGTGCTTACGGAATCGTCATTGCTACCGCTGGACCGGACGCAGCTCTATCGAAACGCCCAAATTGGATTTCCTCGCACCGAGAAGAAGCTAGGCCCAGTAGAGCACATGATATACGCAAGAACGCACGAAAAAGTATTTGAACTGGGACATGAGCTGCAGCTCATGCGATCCCGTATCTGGAGGCTCCCGTCCAATGCCAGCTCAGAGACTAGGCAAGCCCTCTACTTGGAACTGCTGGATCAGTGCCAGTCGATAGAAAAGGTGAGTCAGGAAACCCTTGTCCATCCCCTATTTCTACCCATATCAAAGTCGTACTTCAGACTAACCCCGACGCCATATTCAGAGATGCGACGACGTCTTTCGCTCCATGTACGAAGACGACACGAGAAGAGTCATTTCGAAACACGCCGTGCGTCTCAACATGACCATTGCCATGCAGTACTGGACCTGCATACTCTTTTTCCGGCGCTGGCTGGTCCCCGAGCGAGCGCCGCAGCCCATTCACCGCCTCGCCGTGGCGCGCATCGTCGCCTGCCTCCACGACCAGTACGGGCACGACCGCCGGCGGTTGATCCGCTGTGCCTGGCCGCTGTTCATGGCGTCCATTGAGACGACGGGGGACTTGTCCAAGCGCCGCTGGCTGCTGGACCGGCTGGGCGAGACCCGCCACGCAACGGCCGAGTGTGCTTGGAGTTGGGAGGCGGCGCAAAAGATTACCGCGCTGCAGGATTCCGGGACTCGGGGGGAGTCTGTTGATCTTCGGCAGTTTATGCCGATGCTCTCAACAGAGGAAAGCCTTGGGGGGATGAAGCCCTTTTAAAGATGATACATGTGCCATCAAGGAAGTCAACTCCCCGTGTTGGCTACGTATTAGTGAGGGCTGCAGGGGAAAACTCGCGGATGCATATGTATCGGAGGTCCGCACCGGGATGCGTCGGTTGTGTTGGAGGCTATCCAGAACGGACCGGCAGGCTGGTGGATTAGGACCTAGGTATACCAATTTAGTACACTCTGTTTTACGAATACGAATCTATTGTGTTCCTTTCATCTTTGTGCTACTGGCGGGTTTGATACCAAGAAACCCTAACACGCGCGTGGCCTTGAAAACGCCATTCAAGGTTAAGGCTGTCCGCCTTCCGAAAATGATGATATGGAAAACAATGGAGCCAAAGGACGGTCATTGGAATTGACAATCAGGGGAAGCAGCACCTAGAAAAAAAATGGTGACTCTTGATGTACCAAGTGTGAGCGATCAATATCAATCACTCGTGTCAATGATTTCTTCGCCACGATTAGCTCATGCTAGCATATTCCTTGAGCACCGCCTCCAGAGCATGTCCAAAGTAGGTCCAAGTCGTCAATCATAGACATAGCCTCAAGGACAAACTCGGGCATATTTTTGTTCAAGAGCGACGGAGGAAATCATGAAATGATTCACGATAGCTACGGTATTAGTGAGTCATGGGTTTACCTAGGTACCTAAATACCTAACTTTTACGAACAGAAATGGTAGCCATAGATACGAGTACTGGTAGCTCTGAATACACCACGGCCAATGAGCTTGCTAATACTGTCAATCTTCAAGTACCCTGGAGGCATTCAGAAATCCTAAGCACAGCAACCAAAACAACTTTTAAACTTTTCATGGTGGCTATACGGTTTTCTTTAACTCAATAAATTCAATTTTAGGATATCAGAAAGTACTTGCATATCTTTTCTGTCGTATGAGTGGAAGTCCGACAGTGGCAAGTGTTCGCTAAGTTTTCATCTCTGCGGAACCCCAGACTCTCTCCGATTCACCATTATTTCTCTCGCGCTTCTTTTTACGAACTGGAGTATTTTGGAATTGAAGCCGATGCATATTCGTAACCTACGATACAATTCCGCGCAAGAGGCGAGGATATTCTCAACAGCAGTTTCATCAACAACGACATCTTCTCCATCATCTTCTTGGCTGTCACCACCTATATTTGGCTCCCTCGATTCACCAAGTATGTAAACAAACACTTCTAGATTGGATTTTCGTCGAGGCAGTATTGTTAATAATCACAGATAGGTCGAGCTAGGCCAAGTAGATGAGTGTAATCAACACGTGTGCAAGTTGGAGCAAGTGGCCGAGATAATACCAAGGTTGAGTCAGGCACAGCCACGCGCCGCTTGGTGAACAACTCGAGCTGGAAAATCAGTGAATGGTTGGATCATATGTATGGGTTGAGTTTCATTGATGCCGTCCAGGTACCTGTCTTTCGATTTTGTTTTGGTATAAGTATAAGTATCATGGTTGAATACTTGGAAATATTACGTGTGACATTTTTCATCATCTATTCTTGGGCCCCCCACAGATGTCAGCCGAGCTACCATATTCTATAAAGCGCGGTTCTCCTTGTGAATTTACCTCCTACGGTACTTGTCGGCTTGTCATCGAAGCAAACAGGTTTACATTCATCATGGGTATCTATGGGGACGAAGGTGTGGTTGAGGGAACTCGTGCTTACCTCAAAACAGGTGTGTCAGACGTTGTCTCCTGCTCTGACTTCGATGACACCGACCCATCAGCGCCGGCTGTGGCATCGGAGAAGTCACGGTCCAGCCTGGGAAAGAAGTTTGTGGCGCAATTCGAAGATGAAGAGTCGCAAATGGATTTCTACGACCAATATGTGGTATGCTTCCCCGACGTCTCGGTCGAACAGACCGTATACGAGCTCATCTTGCCTGTCGAACAATTACGGGCGATATATCGCCATGGGCTGCGTGGGGCTCTTCGAGCAAGCAACGAGGAGGCGAGTTGCACAGCTAGACGTCGGGATCTTCGCCACGTATTTCCGATCGACAAACCAAAAGTCTGGTACTCTGGGCTTTTAGTAAAGGGCCAAGAAATACTCGAGCAAGTCCTGCGTTCGTTGCCAGTCACTCTTATTGTCCCTGTACTATAGTATTGGCCTGGAGGCTAATACTGTAATGCAGTGTTTTGAGGTTCAAAATACTTCGAACCATTTAGAATATCCTTGCGTGTTCTCTTCTTCTTCTTTTTCCTTTTCACTCTTCTTCAAAATCTATCTTGCCTACTGACCACGAAATGAATCGTGTTTAGGCCGAAACCACTCGATGGACCACCGCCCGTTCCTCTTGTTCAGTTTCATCCTCCTGTCATTGCAACAATGGGTATCCCCGTGGATGGGCCACGCAACTTTCAACATCAGACCATGGTGCAGGTCAAATATACAGCCAGCAATTCCGATTCATCACCTCTAGACTTGCTCAATTCACCTAGTGATGCACTGATGTAGTCAGTACCCACCGCAGATCATCTACTCGGGTATATTATATACCTCTTCATCACATCTGTTTTGTTGGTCTTCAGGATCAACCAAGACAGCTTTCTCACGTTTCCTCGATTTCATCTTCCCCTTCACAGTGGCTCAGGAGAGAATTATGTACTTGCCAGAAACTTCCGTTAATAAACTCAAGCACCAACCAGCACCCACGTATACACAAATGTGAAGCGTGAACTTGACCCATCGGAGACTATGTGAGTATGTGCCCGTCGACACGGCCCTATTCCAGGTCCTTGTTGCAATGATATTCTCCTTCTTGCTATTCTAATCGCTAATATATATAAATGATTAAGAACAAGCCATAGTTTAGAAGCACTGGCGAATTGGCACAAGCTGTCCCTTGGTAGGTAGTATTCATGAGTCTTACTCTCGTCATGGACTGCCTGTCCCGAACCAACAATGGCATGCGGGACCCCCAAAGGCTTAAAATTGGACCAATCTGGCAATGAGCGCCGACGGGGGGGCCTTTTCCCACGTCTCTCTCGGCTGCGAAACGAAGGCATGTAAAATAAGAAAAGAAGGAAAGAAAGAAAAATAAGAGACCAGCAAAATGTAACCGTACAAGCGCAGGGACGTTTATTTCGTCACCTTGACTGACTGCCAGCAGCAGGAGAAGAAAAACATGCACCACTTTTCCCCCACAGGCGCTGCCTACTCGAGGATCCAGACCACTTTATCCGCTCGGCAAAGTACGATACACCCCTCAGACCCCCTGAAAAAAGTAACTCGACCAGACAGCTTTATGGAGCCAGCTTGCCAGCGTTCAGTCAATCAAAATCCTGCCAATATCATTGGCTCTTGATGAGGAGATTCCAAGGAAAATGCCGAAGTTTGCGGATCGGCCTTTGTTGCATTCGGCCGACAAGTTGTTGACAATGGTGAGAATGATGCGGGGCAGAAGGGCGAGCTGCTTACTTTAACGGCACACGCAAAGTTCTGGAAGATGGACAAAACAGCCTTATTGCAAGTACAGTCCAGGGGGAGGTTATCGCCAAGTCCAAAGGGGGTCCTCGAGGTCCTTTCTTTGCCACGCGCCAAGCATGGATAGTCCTCGTTGTGCCACCACATACGAGTGTGTACTATCAATTGATCATTGCGATTTGCCTCTCTGAGTGTCTGAGCGTAATGATGTGCTTTATGTTTGCATGTGTGACGGAACTGGCCTCTACAAAGTATGTGAATCACATAAGATTGGGAACTTTTCAAAATGACTGGGACGTTTGACACTTGACTGATTGAGGTTTTTAGCGATGGTCGTCGCTGTCAAAAGATTCAAGCAAGGCACGAACAAACAAGCATTCAGGGCAAAAGTGGAGCAAATCCACTCACGGCTCTGCAGGTTGGACATTCCGGCCTCCTGCCCATCCGGGAATTAACCTTTAAAAATTTCCCCCATCTCCATTGCGGAGAAGAAGTCGAAGCGCCTCGATCTTTTGACCTGTTTAAGGTTGGTAGTCTCCGGCTTCTTGTTTGCATGCACATGGCGGCTAGCGAGCGTGTAAATTTCTACTCTGGGGTAATTATAATCGCAGGTCTCTGATAACAATCTATTCATGGACAGGCGAGCAGTATTTTTGAATCCCATTTTGAGAGACGGGCGACTCGGAGCCCGGTTTGGACGGCCTGGTCCCTGACTATACTGAGACAAAGGTGGGCGGGTTATATCAAGCTCGAGTTAAGATGTCAATGTCAGATTCCTGCCATACATGACGCCTGTCATGGTTATTAGTGCTTCTGTAATACGGGATTACATAGACAAAAAGAGACAGAGATTTCTTTCCTCACTCCCCCTCCGAGCCTTGACCTGACCACCTTACCCGCGCTTTGCCGTCTAATAACTGGTGCAACTCGGGCAATGGTGGAGTTCCTGCGTCGGCGCCCTTACCCCAACGGGGACACCAAGCCCGTAACGCTCATATACGCCCGCATGAAGAGGTGCAACCATCACACCCTTCTCACCCTCCCCAGCACCATTGCCTAGCCCTCAGTCCTGTGCTCGTTCCCAGTCTGAAGCATTGTTAGCCAGAAAAGCTGAAAAAGTCATGGTGATCATCAATTGTCTGGTCAATGCGTCCGCATTGTCTTGTCCCTTTTTTTTTCCCTCCCCCTTCCTTGCCTCAAGCCTTTGCACCACCCCCCGGCTCCTATATTATTGGTGCACCGTGCCGTTTTCAGACGTCCTAAAGGTTGATCATTTGAGTTTGGGCCCCTTTAGATGCCTATACACCACCCACAATAAGCGCCTCTTTGATTCGAGCCGAGCAAAAACGACGAGATAACGGAATTCCTCCATCTGACCAAGAATTATTCTCCCTCAAGAGGAGATATCACATCATGTTGCGAGAACTTGGAGATACAAATTGAGCACTCGCTGTTTCTGGCTACCCCTTGAACAACACGGCAACGGCTTGTGACGAGAGCTACAAAAGGAAAACAGAAAAGAGGAGGAGGTTTTCAATTCTTCTTTCTTTCTTTCGGCCTCTGCGAATGCCGCCGCCGCCGCCGCCGCCATGATGGTTCACTTTGAGAGCGATAGCGACCACTGGAAGAGCGCCGTCGGGATCGGCGCAGCCGGTTGCTTCCTTTCCATCGTGTCAGTGGCGGCTCGCATGTATACTCGGTATTTTGTCACGAGATCGGTCGGCGTCGACGACTTGATGGCCATTGTCTCACTGGTTAGTATAATCTCATGGAGAAAAAGACCAAAACTGACATGTGACCAATCAAGCTGTGCACGCTGGGCATGTACATTACGCTGAGCATATATGCGACTTGGTATGCCAGCGGCAACATTGAGAGGTGGACACGGGCCGATGCCAAGAATTTTCTCCTCGTGAGTTCTCGAGAGCCAACTTTGACATTTTCTCAGTTTGACTGCGAGACCAATACTCATATCATACACGACAGTTGTTTTGGGTCAACGAGCTGGTCTACAATGTCGGCACGCTCTTCATCAAGTGGACCTACCTCTTCCAGTACCTGCGAGTGTTTCGTAACGTCAAGGCCATGCGCATCGCCTACTGGGTGTGCATTGTCTTGACGGGGGCGTGGTACGCTTTCCAGGTCTTTGGCTTCATGTTCAGCTGCAATCCGGTCGCCGGGTTCTGGGACAAGTCGATCAAGTCGACGTGCAACATCACGAGCAAGATTGGGTCCACGACGGGCTTCTTTTACGTCAACGCCGCCGGAACGCTTGTTATTGATATTGTCGTCCTCGTCCTCCCGATTCCCACCATCTGGAACTTGAAGCTTCGTACGCGGCAAAAATGGGCCATCTTTGGCATATTCGCCGTAGGAGGAATGTAAGTCAGAGATTACTTGTTCCTTCTTGGTAACATGATGAAAAGCGAATATGTGCTAACGAACTTGATTTTCTTCGATATAGTGTTCCGGCCATCACAATCGGTCGAATGGCGAGTTTACACGACCTTGACACGAACGGAATCGTCAATTCGGGCATCTGGTCGCTCATGGAGATGTGCGCCGGCATAGCCACTGCGGCATTGGCGACGATACGTCTGCTCATCAGCCGCAAGGTGCCCGTTTTCGGCACCAGTGCACCGAGACGTCAACTAGTTGCAAAGAGAGCCAGCCCCTTTAGCACTTTTGGATCGAGGGCCAGACCCGTAACGAGCGGAAGCCAGAGGGACCTAGTCGTTGCCGGGTTTGAATGCGAGATGCAGGGCGGGTCCTCGACGGGACAAAGCAGCATTGATATCAGGAAGGAGGGCGACATCACAACAACCTCGAGCAGGACATCCACTACGGCGGCGGTCCAAAACAAAGGAGGATGGAGGGAGTCGACCTCGGAGGCCCCGCTGCGACCCAACCCAAATCTGCGCGAGAATACCGAGTCTTTACACTTTGGCTTGCCGCACGGAGCCCATGGCGTGGGCGTTCAGACGACCATTACAAGCGACCGGCAACGGGCCATGTCGGCTTCCGGTGCTGTGTTTCTCGGTACTTTTGGTATCCTCGTTGAGCAGGACTGGGAAGTCACCGAGTCCAATGCCGCTTAATCTTGTTTTTATGCGTTGCGATGGTGTTCACCTCGCTGGTTTCCGTCATGTGCATTAGATACCCTGTTTTAATTGTCACCTTGAAAAATTGTCAATATCAATCTTCAAAATGTTTTGGAGATCAACAGACAATCCTTCTACAAATGTTGAACCCATGCTGGCATGTTAGATTTTGTACCAAGGTCTCGGTCGTCTCTTGCAAATGTCGTCACTGTCACCGAGAATTGCAGATGATTGATCGGTGTCAAAAGGGCCATGATTAAGTGTCTTCGAATTCATGCTTGAACCCCCCCCCCCTTTTTTTCCCCCCCCCCAGTTTCTGTACCTGTTCTCGAGTCCCAAGGCTTCTTCCAAACCCTTCCTTCCTAGTTCAATATCGTTGACATGAGAACCTTACTGCCGTACGGTCTGATGTCTCTGCCAGTGGCTCGTGATCAATATGCTTGACTAGACGAGGGACGTAATCGTGGTTCTGTGAGTTGCCCCAGGACATAATCCGAATGAGGAACTTGGCTTGATATGTTTCGCTTCAGCATAGAGATACCTTCAACGCCCGGCATATTGATATGCCATGACTAGGTCGATATCGGAATCCTTTTGGAGGTTCAAGACGTCTTTGCATCTTCTTCCAGGGATGCCGGTTTGCATTGAGAGCACGAGACGCGGACAGTCATCTTGAATCTGTCCAGCGCAGATGAGCGAAAATGTCAGCACGCTCTGGTGGCTTTGCCATCTCTATCTGCATGAATGATTTCCAAACATTTTTCGAAAATGTCTAGGGTTTCAGGGGCAATGGATCTTGGCTTGCTCGTCTCATCCGAGACAATCAAGCATGGGTGAGTGACTCAATATTGAGAACTCACATCTCCCCTCAAAACACATGGTGACTCTTTGTAACTGTCTCTTTGCTCATTTGGTTGTGGTCTTTCCATAAGCACCACCTTTAGCCTTTCTCATTTCCAGCGCTCGTTTATATGGAGGGGCCGTGGGCGGTTGAACTGGATCAAGGGACACATGTCCTGGCGGTAATTTGTACGAGGCATCGGAGTCAAAGGCAGAAAGATCTCCGCATGCAATAAAAGGTGCGATCCATCGGGTGTGGTTGCCCTCGGGCACGCTGACATCTTCCACTTCGACCTCGGCGATCCCATCTTGGTCTTCAACCCTGGTAAACACCGGTGCCACATCCCACGCTCCAGACTGTTGGCTCTGAAGTAGAGTTGGCGCAACAATGGGGAGCATGCTCGACCGTTCAGTCATCATGTTTGAGAGGCGATGACCAACTCCGAGCGGCTCTTCGAGGCTGGCAGAGAAGCCCTTGGGCGGCTGAAAGTTCAAGCAGACAATAAAGGCCTCGACGCTGCTGGCTCGAGAAGATCTTGGTTTTGCGACATATACGTGTTCAAAGAAGATCTTCAATTGTGCGTAGAGAACATCGACATTTTTTCCTCGGAATATCTTGGCCACGAACTTGCCGCCTGGCTTGAGGACACATAATGCCAGGTTCAACGCGGCGAAAAGGAGTTGAGACTGAACGTAGATGTCCAAGTCGTGCAACCCCGTCACATCGGGGGCGCCATCGCTAATGACTAGATCGACGGGCTGAGCTGCTTGTTGGTTTTTCTTGCTGGGTTCATAGTCCGGGTCAAGAGCTTTTAGGAGGAGCGGGACTGTGGCAGGATGTGTAATGTCGGCGCGAAGTGTGATAATGCCAGGCAGTGGACTGATGGGTTGCAAGTCAATGGCGACAATCTTGACGTCCTTTCGAGGCTTGAGCTCATCCGAGTCCGCCCTGGCTACTTCTTGTGTGGCGGTGACGCCGGGGCTGAAGACATTCAACATCTGCTGTCTGAACTTTGCTTCCCGGTCCTCCCATGCAGCACGGCCAAATTTCTCGCCCTTGATCAGCACTCTTGAGAGTACCTGGGACCAACTACCAGGTGCAGCACACAGGTCAACGACCCGGGTCACATTGGCAAAGAGATCGAATTCTGCGGCCGGGTCAGAATTCCCAGAGTACGTAGATCTTGGTCTTTCTTCTCATCGTGAGAGCCCTCACTCACCTTCGTCTAGTTGGAGCAATTTGAAAGCGCTGCGTGCTCGCCAGCCCTGCTCCTTGGCGAGTCGATAATAGGCATCGCGCTTGTCCTTGGACGATTTTCCCATTTTCTCCCTCTCTTTTTACTCTCCTTTGTGTAGGAAAATTATGACCGATGCATACAAATAAATCCTCAAACTTTTGGGGTTATTGGGCTGGTGGCTCGTCCCTGCTGCTTTTCTCTCAGCAATTTTTCAGCGAATCACATTGCGGCCGTCGCCCAGGTACGTATCTCTTAGGCTCAAAAGATTTAAGCTGCGGCCAGTGCATGTTTACAGGGGTTCCAGTGCGCAACTCGGTGATCCCATGGCGGGGCATTGATTTCCGTCAGTACGTAGCTCCAAGTTGTTATCGCTATCAGTGCATTTGCGCGCCAAAAATTTTGGGAAGCAGAGGCTCCAGAGAGCGTCTGGCCTAGGACAATCATCGTAAAGTTCAAACAGATCCAGCACGCGACTTTCACATTTGGTCACCGACGCCGCCATGGAGGGACCCAAGAACAAGAGAAAACTTGCCGCCACTGGTGAATCACAAAAGCAGTCCAAAAAGCCAAAGATTCGAGTGCAGCCAAAGAAATCATCGCAAAAGGCTCGCCGGACCGTTGCCCTCGATTCGCTACGATGGCGCACTTCCCAGCTTCCCGACATGCTCAATGATGCTGAAGGCTTTTACGGACTGGAGGAGGTGGACGATGTTGAAGTCTACAAGAATGAGGACAATATTATTCAATTTGTACGAAGTCGTGGCATATTTGTACCATGAGGGCAGATGCTGACAATTTTGTAGAGAGCATTTGACACGCAATCAGAAGCTGCCAGTGACGCCGCCGGCGACGAGAGCGATGAGTTCGAGGGCTTTGATGACGAGCCAGTAGCGCCGGCCAGCAAGGAAACAGGAGCCAGCAAGCCCTCAGCGCCAGAACCAAAGACCGCTGATGAATCTGTCGCGAACAAGAAAGAGACAAAAGCGGAAAAGAAGGCCAAGAAGGCGAGCCAAGCAGTAAAGGACCCTGAACTCGAGAGCAACGTCTTTGCTGCCCTTGAGGATGTCGATGCGCCGCAAGACGATTTTGATGCATCCGCCTGGGTACCATTGGAACTTTCTCCGGCATTGATTTCCTCTATTGCGAAACTCAAGTTCTCGAAACCAACTACCATTCAAGCCGCCTCGATTCCACACGTCTTGGCTGGCCATGATGTTATTGGCAAGGCTTCGACCGGTTCTGGAAAGACTTTGGCCTTCGCCATTCCCATTGTGGAGAGATGGCTTGAGAATCAGGAAGATGGGGCGACTGAAAACAATGGCCCGCTTGCTTTGATTTTGTCTCCGACCAGAGAATTGGCCCATCAGCTCACCGACCATATCAAGGCTTTGTGCCAGGGCCTTCCAAACTCACCATTTGTGTGTTCTGTTACAGGAGGTCTGTCGGTCCTCAAGCAGCAACGACAACTGTCAAAGGCCAATATTGTGGTCGGCACTCCAGGTAGATTGTGGGAAGTTCTAAGTTCAAGCTCGGAACTTATGGGCAAGTTCAAGAGTATTGGTTTCCTCGTCGTCGATGAAGCCGATCGACTCCTGAGCGAGGGCCATTTCAAGGAGGCGGAGCAATTGTTTGATGCTCTAGATCGATACGAAGCAGACGAGGAAGATGTCGAGGAGCGTGAGCCTACGCCCAGACAAACGCTAGTGTTTTCTGCCACATTCCACAAAGGTCTGCAACAAAAGCTTGCTGGTAAGGGCAAGTATGGGCTGATGAATAAGGATGACTCTATGGAGTATCTCCTCAGGAAACTCAACTTTCGCGAAGAACGGCCAAAGTTTGTGGATGTCAACCCCATCTCCCAGATGGCCGAGGGTCTGAAGGAAGGTCTCGTGGAGTGCGGTGCAATGGAAAAGGTATGTATCATTCACGGCGTCACCTGGCATCCACACCACTGACAGCACGCAGGACTTGTATCTCTACACGGTTCTCTTGTTATACCCGACCGCTCGGACCTTGATCTTTACCAACTCGATCAGCGCAGCACGCCGCATCACGCCAATGCTACAAAACCTCAACCTGAGCAGTCTTCCCTTGCATTCTCAAATGGCCCAGAAAGCGCGATTAAGATCCATTGAAAGGTTCTCGGAAGCGCCCAAGGGCAAGGGATCTATATTGGTTGCGACCGATGTCGCTGCCCGTGGTCTAGATATTCCCAACGTGGATCTTGTAATTCATTATCATGTGCCCAGGGCCGCCGACGCATATGTGCACAGGTCAGGAAGAACGGCTCGTGCCGAAAGAACTGGTGTCAGTATTTTACTCTGCGCCCCCGAGGAAGTTGTTCCTACACGACGACTCATTGCCAAGGTGCATTCGGACAAGGGCATGGGCAAGAACCATTTCGTTCAGACGGTTGACATGGATCGCAAACTTGCCGGTCGTCTAAAACAACGAGTCACTCTGGCCAAGAAGATTGCCGATTCTACTTTGGCAAAAGAAAAAGGCAGCAAAGAAGACGACTGGATGCGCAACGCAGCCGAAGAACTAGGCGTCGATTACGACAGCGAAGAGTTGGAAAAGGCCGGGAAATGGGGTGGACGGGGCGGAGGACGAAAGAAGAAGCAGGACGAAGCCAGGTCCTTGACAAAAGCCGAGCTAGGCGCCATGAAGGGGGAGCTCAAGGCTCTCTTGGCGCAGCGCGTCAATACCGGCGTTAGCGAAAAGTACATTACTTCCGGCTTGGTCGATATCGATGAATTGCTCAAGGGTGCCAAAGGCGACTTCCTGGGTAAAGTTGATGGTCTTGATATTTCAAGTCTTTAAAGTGGCCATTTGCGGCACATTGATACCCATTAGTCAAGTAATACCCAAATTTGCATCTCTCGGCCATGGCTACGTGTTTCGAATTTGCCGTTTCCTGCACATGATGGGGAGAGAGATAAATCAATCTCATCTATCACAACCCATTCGATCAGATCTATGCCAGGAACTCGACAGAATGGCAAGGTTAAACAACAGCCACTTGCCTCGACCAATGATGAACTGGCTTAAACAAGCCTCAAAAGCCACAAGTGGGTAGTCTCACATCATCCAGGCATTGGATCCTAGTAATGCTCGTCATATACTGTGCGACACCGCAAACACGGGCCGACAAAGGTGATGACATGTGCACCGTAGGGAGCGGATTATACAGCATTTGAGCAGGTGCTTATCGCGACATGACGTGAAGCGACAACTTGAGTAAATGCAACGATATTCTGACCGGCATAACTTCTACGTCTACGTTTGTACATCTACAAATCTTCCCAGCGGAGGAAGATGGGACGAGATGCTTGCGGGACGGGTGTTTTCGGACGTTATGCGAGCTGGCCCGGTGGACTATAGCCCGAGCCAATGCACATATTTACGCCGGACGTCCAGTTGCATCGGCCTGAACAGAAGTGCCAATGAAGTCGAGGCCGAACCATTAATTTCGGCAGTGACTGTAGACTGCGACGAAAAAAAGTCTAAAAATATGTTTAATCTTGTTGATGACGGGGATCAAGAGATAAGTTGCTTCAGCGGCGAGCGAGCGTCAGCCTGGAAGGTGAAATTTGATATTCTGCATGCCAAGAAAGGCATCCAGGTGGTATCCCACCCATGGCTCCCCCCTTGACCGGCCAAGACTCCGAGCTCCAGGCTTCAGGTCGTTCGTTCGGCAGCTCCCGACAAAGGAACCATGTAACCCAACTAACAACGCATCTCGTTTCGCGTAAGAAATAGCCTGCAGCCGCCAGACCGACCATCTTACTGATCGGAGAAGGTCGTTGAAATATGCAAAGAGCGATAAATAAACTTGTTCTCCTGCATATCGGCCATGTATGTTGTTGCGCCACAGCAGTTCAATCATTCCTCTGGGGGCCTCCTGCGATCACCCGATTGACACTCCGGACCTGGAAGCTAGGAATTACATCCCTGCCACCCAAGCCTCCGACCGGCCCTCGTCTTCTGAGTGGGCAAGAGGGTCGGTGAGCAGGTGAGAACAGGCTCGCTTCCCACGCGAAAGAAAACGGACTCGGCGAGATTCCCGGGGGCCGCCCAGGAGGGAGATTGGCATCTGACAATGTCGAGCTCCTGTGTGGAAAAATCCACTTACTCAGCAACTCAGGATCGAGGTGGCTTGATGGTGGAATATGACTTTGTGATGCCGCAAATGACATCCGCCGCTCAATGGCGACTGCTGGTTGAATAGGGGGGATGCCTTTGATGCCACTGCGTACGATTCTTTCCAACGAATGCGCGGCATCAATGTCAGTCAGCCCGCGGAGTTGTGGGCACGACTATCGACATGAGCATCGCAGGGTCCAAACATAGGCGAGCTGCATCCACGTGGATTCCCATCAAGAAAAAGCCCGCATCATATGCAATTCCATCCGCACAAACCCGATAAGAGGGTCTAGCCCAACGATAATTTTTTGCTGCTCGATGCAGCCGAAGTTACATTACAGCTGCGAACTATTCGTTCGTATAGTCAAAAATTGGAGACTATACCTTCGCAGTATCGAGGGCCAAGGCACGCTGTGATGGATATTCCAACGACGTCTCAGCCATTCACCTTGCCATTACGTTGAGAATCCTCCTGGCGATCCAATACTGTCAAGGGTACCAGGATGTCTGTATCCAGGTTTTCCTCCCAGCTTTGCAGGCATCACTGGCCAGGACCTAGGAACCGTTACCGGTCAATTGGGAGGGCTGGTCAGCCTCACGAGGCTTGGCGTGCGTCTGCCATCAGCACGTAGCCCGGAGACCATCGTAAGACCGGCACTGGTCTTCGCTGCATGGCTTCGCTTACATCAACGGCGAAATCGCGAGATGCTTCTAGGTCACGGCTAGACGGTTCGTCTTTCCGGTGGATTGTGGAAGCTGCTGGGTCATGTCGTGATATCAACATGTCTATATAAACATGACGATGGCCCCCCGGGTATGGAGGAAGCTGTATACTATTATTGCTTCATCACCTTCTACATTAGGACATCTTCTCCTATCAGCCACGCCACGCCGCAAAACCTTGAGCCCAGCTTGAATCAAATACCCAAGAATATAACGACTTCAGCTTATAGTCGACAAGGAATTATTTTCAGCACAATAAGTCTCTTCATTATGCAGCTCTCCACGCTTCTCCTCGGCGCCTTTGCCCTCACAGCTTCGGCCCTGCCCAGCCCCCCAGCAGCCAGGAAGCGTGACTTTACATACCACTCGACCATTTCCGACCCGGGCTTTTACGCCGTCTCGTTCCCTCCCGACTACCACGAGGATCAGATCCTGCAGTGGAACCAGCTGCCGACGAGCAATGGGTCCACGTCGGCCCTGATTGCCCGCTTCCCCGCCGGCTTTGCCGTCACGCAGACCGGCCCGGCCAAGATCAACGTCTACACCCGGACGTCGGGCGGCATCGGCACCTACCTCGGTACCGTGGGGCCCCTGTCGGTGGACAGCACGGGAGTCGTGGCCGAGGCCGTCGACGTCGTTGTCGCCGAGCTGACTCTGGCCGAGGGTTACACTTTTGAGTTTCAGATTGACAGCGAGGACGAGAATGCCAGCTTGCAGTTCTTTGAGAATGACGATGCGGGTTTCTTCTTGCGCACCGGCAGTGCCTAAGGAAAATTCTACGCAGTATTCATGATATGATATGAGGGAATGGCTTTTCTTGGTTGGGTTCAAAAGTTCTTATTCAGCCATGTCGAAGATATAGAAGGCTGTATGGTATATATTATTGTCTGGGTTCAGTACAACATTCACACTAATTTACAACTCTTTTCACTCTACAATTGAGGTCTTCAAGACGGTCTGCAGAAAATATGTACATGTATATCAATGATCAATACAGGTGCCAGTATCTAAGCATCAGAAAAGTATGTTGCGCTGCCATAGTATTTCACAAGTCTCTTTTCGGTAAGCGTGTCTCGTGGCAGCCTTGTGTCTGGAAATATATCTTGTGATCGACAATTGGTGCAAAACTATAGACTTTGGGTGAGTTATACCCCGGGATCTATGAATGCGAAGGCTGGGCCACTGGCGGCTAAGAAGCTCTTATCAAAGGGGCGCAATTCATCATTTGAGGCTTTCAAATTAGCAGTTGACATCATTTTCCATGGCTCATAGAAAAACTCATTCTCAAGAAAGCAGCGTCATGCAAGACACGGCGCAATATTTATACTTTTGCAACTTCCCACCAGTTTGAGCCCTCTGGGAGCGAGGCGATAATGTCCTTAGCTGAACCCCTCAAGCCTAGACTCAACTCAAGCAAAAGTTCTCCACTTGCTGTTCAGCACTTCAGCTCCCAATTCTCCTCTTGGGATCTACAAACCCAAATGATTAACCCTGATGTGATCTGCTCAATTATTAATCACACGTAATAACACCACATCTCTGACATCTCATATCCCAAGCCAATTTTTCACAACCAATAACTGTCGACTTTTTCTACTTCAAGACTCATCCACAGCATTCTCTCTCCAAAGGAAGTAACCTCAACACCCCCACCCCCAGAAAAATGTCACAAGCAGACCAGACGACAGCAACAACCAAGCCCACAGATTCGGCAGTGGTAGACCCCAATGTCATGTCCTGGCTCCGCCTTTGGCACGAACGCCTAGCCCACGCCAACCTGCGCGCCTGCGTCGTGCTGGGCCGCAACGGCGACGCGGGCGAGATCCCCGAGGGTCTGCCCAAGGGCCCCGAGGACAAGTTTGACGGCCTGCAGCCGTACCTGGACGCGCTCAACTGTGATGCGTGTCGAGAGGTCTATGGAAACCCTTCGGGTCCCTCTTCGTGGTAAAAGAAGAGGGGGCATGTGAGACGAGGAAGTGAACAGCTTCGGCAAAGAGGGGGAGAGAACTTGTTTTCTGTGGATGATGGCGTGAAAAAAAAGTGGCTGGTGTTGTATATTTGTTTGGTCGCTTCCTTTGCCCAGGTTTGTCCTGGGAAGCGAAAAGAGTCGACGGCACAGCAGAAGGATTGGGAATGAGAATGGACCTACAGAGAGATCACGGAACAACCATGGGATGGCAAGGAAAGTCTTTTGTCTCGAGGGAAATTTATGCATGAGCACAGATAAATCACTGCTCCAAAGCTTTGGGAGGAATAGGGCATGCGCCAGATTGACGAGCGAAAGAAAAGCCCTGGGCTGAACGACAGAAACAGTACCCGAAATTGTCAAACATTGCAAGTTGAATACAATCGACTTGGACTGTAGATTCATCCCACGGCGAGAGTCACGCCTAGACAGAATCCCGAAGCTATATCAACCAGAAAAACCCAATACGCTTGCTTTCCCTCAGTACCCAATGATCCTTAAAACCCACGAATCCCGTCCATCATTCCATCCATACGCCCGCCAACCAATCCCATGAATCACATGATTGCCGACGTGACCCTCGAGAAATTTATTCCTTAGGTTCTCCCCAGCAATAAGTAAAAGAAGCCAAGTGGGAATGCACAAGTGCGCCAGCACAAAAACGCTCCATTGGGTGCTCCCCAAGCCATGATGTATCAACACGACATACAATAACTGTTGACTAACAGCCCGGGGGACAAGAGTGCGGGATGAAGGTCCTCTACTTGGTGACGGCAGCAGCAGCCTTGGGCTTGGTGGCTTTCTTTGTCTTGGCCTCCTCGCCCTTGACCTTTGCTGCTACTTTGCTGGCAGTCGCCTTGACCTAATACACATGCAAAGTCAGCGGATCAAACTCGGAGTTATATACACACTTTATTTCAAGACTGCCGTCAATTTCTCAACCTCGGACAGTACTATAGGTTTGCACAAGCCATCGTTATGCAATCCTTGACAGCACCAACGAGATATGTATGCCTGCAGATATAGAGAAGCTCGTAAATGAAAATTATAGCCAAGCATACCTTGGCGCCAACGCTCTCCTTCTTTGCAGGCTTGCTGACACCAGCAGGTTTTGCGCCCTTGATTTTGGCAGTGATGGGTTCCTTGGTGGTGGTAGTAGCCGTGGTCGGAGTCTTCTTGGGCTTGGTCGTGCGCTTAACGGCAGGTTGGGTATCGATGGTCTGGAAGATGCGCGGCTTGGAGTTGCCGGTAGCAGAGCGGGTCCCTTCGCGTGCCATTTTTTTTTTCTTAACGCGAGAGATGTATTGAGGACTGTTGGATAGTTTATAGCAAAGAAAATTCTAGGTATAATCGTTAGTTGACTGTTTGATCTTGGGTATGCAGTGTACCAAAAAGTAATGCGACGTGTTGTGGTGCTGATAGACGGAATGCGACAGAGCAGAAGAAGGGGAGTTGAACGGGTGCAGTTGTGTGAACGTGAAGTGGGTGCTGGTGCTATATTCGTGCTCTGCGACCCGGAAAAAAGAGGAGTTCACGAGCAGAAAAAAAACAGCTCCGAGCGCTACAATAATGCAAATTACACCAAATAAACTCGAGATACATGTAAATAACAACTTACCAGAGCTTCAGACGGTAATTTTCAAGTTTAAACGGTTGATAAAGGAGGAGAAATGTTGGAGGGGAGAGCCGGGTCGAGATGAGGAGGTGTCGTTGTTGACTGACTGTCGCGCACGAGACGAGACGTCGCAGCAACAACAGCCTCTCGCTCTCCCACTCAAGTGTGTGTCTGTCTCTCTCCCCTCCCCATGATCCGATCCCATCCTATCCCAGCCTATCGTCCAACCCCCGGGCTCTGTGCTGTCAAGGTCGCCATCGGCGCTCGCACGAATGGCTTGGTTAGTTACAGGGACTTGCTATAGGTAGATCTCTCATGCCATATCTGCCGACCACTTTCATTGTACCTAGTAGCTGACCCGGGCAGCGATACACCCTGAAAATGTTCCTCTGCCTATAAGAGACCATGTATCACAAGAAAGTAAAAGAGGTTGGATAATGTATATGGTAATATGAGCAGCAGCAGATATCAAATTTCGCTTCACGATATTTACGGCTACGTTCTTCTTGCCCTGCATCATGGTGAAAGACATGCGAACAGAGCAGCAGCACAGCCTAGCTGGCCCAACCTCAGCAGCCTAAGAGTACCTGGGGTCAACACACGCCCTGGCATGCCTCTAGTTACTCGGCCCTGCTGTTGCTGTAACCCTCCATCTCGCCAATAGCAACCTTTATTGATTGACGTGATGCTGGTTGCTGCAGTAATGGAAATATATATCATGTCTAGGCCAGGTTGAGGACCAGCGATTTCCTTGTTCAACACTATGAATCCTCTTGAACTATGCTGCTGACGAGCTTTACACTTTCATCATCTCCATTTAACGTTTTTCGTTATCAGAACAGCTCCCTCCCTCCCTGGTTGCTCGACTTGGCACGCAAGCTGCAGATCCCATCCAGGTCTGCGGCACATGCCGGCGCGTAAAAGATGAGAATGATCGATTGGAATCTCGACTCCCCCAGCCGCCTGATGATTGATCAGTGGTCGATCCAAAATGTCAGTCAGGGTCCCGAGCGATTCTGTGAACACTGATGCTACCAAAATAAATTGCGGTGCTATTGTCTGTAGGTCCTTGGGACAGTGCATTCGCGCTTCATTATGGCAGTCTCTCGAGGCGTCCACGGGTATCAATTAATTGATTGTCCACTAGGTCAACGCTCCAAGCCCAACAGTGGAGCAGGGGTGCGGCGACCACCACCAACCCAGCGGATGATCCCGCGGCCCCCCAGCGTTAGTGCTAGCGATATGAAGCCATTCACAGCTCACGATCCACAGTCACAAATGGGCGCTTCTGTTCTTCCGGGAGTAATATCTCGTCATACATGGTAGGGGCAAAAGTGATGAAAATTGCATACGGTACAGTTTACCTAGGCTCAGACATAATCTCTACCAAGCTTCCTAAATCACTGGAAAATCCACCGCTTGCCCATGAGTCTCGACGCCCCAGTTGCGAATGCCCGAGACCAGCGCATCCGTAAACTCGGCGTCGTACCCGCGGGCATCGTCAGCCCAGGCGACATTGCCCGTCCTCCAAACCGTCCAGTCCTCGGCGCGCACCCCCTCGGGCGCCCGCAGCACCCCCATGGCCACATTCAGGACAGCCTGCCGCTCGCTGGGCGTGCGCCGCGTCGTTCCCAGCAGCACCGTCGCGCCGCAGCGCCCGCAGAACCCCCGCGTCACGCGCCCCCGTGTCGACTGGTACGTCTTGAGGGTTCCCACGCCTTGAAAATCCGGGGGCATTGGGGGATCCGTGATCGCGATCCGCGGGACCAGGATCCACGGCACCACCGTGGCGCCCGACAGGCGGCCGCAGTCGCGGCACATGTCGAGAAAGGCCTTCCATTTATAGTTCTCGTCGTTGCTGCGGGTGGTTGGGTTCTCGGCAGACGATGATGACATGACATAGTCGCCCATGTACTCGTCATCAATCACCTCCTGGCTGGGCCGGGTAATGGAAAAGGCGACGCCGCCGCAGGCACACTCGGCGCGCAGCCTCTCCCGGCCGTCGGGTCCCACGCACGGCTCGCAGGCGTTGGGAAAATCCTGCGAACCCAGGCTGACGTGCGGTACGGCCGCGCCGGCCACCTCGGGGAGCCACGGGGCCATGCCGCCGCCCGCCGCCGACTGGGTGCACGTGTGAAAGGCCAGCTGCCAGAACTTTTCGTCAAAGATACCCCACGTCACTGCCCACTGGTCTAGCTCTGGGCTGTAGCCGCCAGCATGGGTGCCACAGGTAGGACAGAATGCTTTTCGAGTCGATTAGTTGCATACTTGAGTAAATCTCCGTTGAGGATAGGGCTCTCTTACACAAGTCTCCTCCATACTCTCCCTTGTACCAAGCCAGCTGCTCTCTCGAGGAGCCCTCGTCCCACTCGGGCGCCACGCCAGGCGGCAGGATGATGTGAAAGCTTCCAAAGGTGCCGTGCGAGGTTCGACAGGCACCACAGTGGCAGATGAAGGCGCGGAGCGGGAGTGCCGCCGTGGCCAGCGTGACGCTGAATCGAATGCGAGAGCAGTGGCAGCGGGCCGCGAATGACTTTTGCTCATGAGGCCCCGTTGGGGCAATTTTGTCGCGGTTGGTGACTTTAATGAGGTGATCTTTATCGGCCATGGTGAAAGCTGTTCCTCTGTGTAAACAATGCAAACTGGCTTCGATATTGTGACAAAGTATACTTCGATTGGTGTAGGCGTGGCGTTGCTTATGCTAGCTACGACACTACCTAGGTAGTGAAAGCCCACTCCAGTCTTGAGCCTGTTAGCAAGATAAAATTCGAGGTTTTCAGATTGTTGAAAATGTCCGTAGGCGTCAACATCCTCGGCCTGTTGAGTTGTTGTGCAAACTTACACCTATTTTATGGCCCGGTCTTGGAAGTGAAACGGCAGTTTCTTCTTTGGGAGTGGCTGGTATCAACGCTGCTATATTTATGCACCAACACTGCACATGTCTTACGTGAGCGCTTGCGAGGAACTTGATTAGTGAGCCGATCAGTAGTTGCCTTTACAAATGGCAGATTTTAGCCATGGAGATGAGAGTCGTGCTCACTCATTATGCATAGTATACAAGCTGAGCAAGAACCAGCGTCTTATGTTTCCGGAACTGGGGGAGAAAGAAGAAGAGAAAGCAAAGTATAAATATCTACCGAATCATGTGACTCCAAACGCCCCCGCAATGGGGATGACCGTCTTTGTTAAAGAAATATAGAGCGAGGTATGACAACACTCAACTGTGCCGAGTCTTCACGTCTTCTAGCGCTGCACCCATATTCCCATCTCTTGACCCGAAATCCATATGCCATGACCAAGACCATCCTGTATCATCCCGACCCATCCCAAAACCGATTCCCCTACCCGATTTTTGAAGTCTCGTGTGTATTCAGGTGCACCGAGACGAGAAAAAGATATCCAATACGCCATCCAATCCTAACACCAATCGCCGACGTATTACACCGCTCACAGATAGACCTTCTGGAGATTAGAGAGAAGTTTGCATGATAAAAAGTGGAAGATGATAAGAAAGCTCTAAAAAGTCAAAGCTGAGAGATGAGACTACTTAGTTTTATCTCTCGCTTCGTATATTTGATTAATGACTACCAGCGTGGGCCGGGCGCCATTTGTTGCCGTTGAGCTTCTTTGGCCCGTGTGAGCCGCTGTCGATGCTACTGTCGTCGTAGCTTGGGGTCTTGTCCATCTTCGCTTCCGGATTCTTGGCCGCGAGCCTCGCCAGCTCGGCCAGTTCTCTCATTCTCCAGCTCGTAAGCAGGGACCATTCCTCGCCAGACCGCTGCACCTCGCCCCACTAAGTAGGAAAATTCAGCGTTTGGCCGGCGGGCATCCTGGTGTTTTCCCAGTTTACATCTTCGCTGCGCTCCTTTTGGAGCACGAGCTGCATCTCACGGACGCCGCAGAACATGCCATTTCGGCCCGTACGCTCGACCATCTGCCAATGTCCGGGCTCGTGGCCTTGTTCCTCGTGGCCCGGCCCAGGCCCAACCCATATCTCCTCCATAAACCTCTCGCCTTGCTCGACTGCGCGATGAGGATTGTGTGTTGGCAGTCCAGCAAATCTCGTGAGGAGCCACTGTGGAATAGTCAAGAGCCTCTCCCATCGCCGGACCCAAGGAAGCCACCTGAAAACATCCTGCGTATATGCTGTTCGTACGTACGGGTTGACAAAAGTTCCCATGTCCTCATCGCCAAAGCTCTTGGCGGCTTGGGTCACGTCGGCGAGGAATAGACAACACTCGCAAGCATCGAAAAAGACTTCGGGCTCGCTCCGGAACCGCACCGGGCTGGTGACATTGGTCGGGAAGTTGGGGTCAATAATGTGGCTGCCAATCTCCCGGAAATCGTAGCTCGGCAGCACAGGCTCCAGATTCTGAACATATTTGGCCTGCATCGCCACCATTCCTCCCCAGCACGATTTGACAGGCACGGCATCGCTCTGGTGAAGGACGGCAGCGCGCGATATTCCATTGCCCTCGTTGCTGAAAAATGGAAAGATGGGCAGGCCTCCACTGAAGCCCTCCGCATCACGCTGAGCGTACAAATCATAGAAGATAAACGGCTTAATAAAATCGAGCGCACAGGCAGAGAGGTACTGCGACCGGCCGTCCGGTCCTACATTGGTGCTGAACAAGAGGTTCGCGGCGTCGGTGGGATTGAAAACCACGTCATTTAGGAACAAAACCTTGTCGAATCGTTCAATGCCCAGCTCCGGGCCATCAGAGATGTCGAGAGGCCTAAGGGCGCGATTCCGCATCTCGGACAGATAGGAGATGCGCTTAACGCGATCAGTTCCGTCCGGCATCCGGATGGTAGGGAAGTCCTCAATCGGCACATGAGCATCATTGACAATCTTGTGTCGGCAGGTCAGCTTTTGCTCGAGGTGTTTGAGAGCAGTTGCGCCAGCCTCGCCACTGTCGTTCTCGTATATGCTTAAAAAGACATTGTCGGATCCAATGAGGTTGATGAGCTGCAAGAGCGTCTGGCCCCAGTGTCCGTCGGCTAAATGTCCATTCTTGTCATACAAGCTGACGCTGATAAATATCTTCTCATTGTAGGGATTGGCGCAGCCGCGCTGGGCAGAAGCCGGGCCGCTACATCGCGAAACGAGGTCGCGATAGTGGCGTGGGGTCCTGGTGTACGAAGGCGCAAGTATGGGTGTTGCTACCAAGACGGCAACGATGGCCACAATAGCGTATCGGACTAGAGTGTAAACAAGCGGGTTTCGTCTCGAAAAGCGACGCAAGTTCCGTCTTGTAAAGATGGTCTTGACGACTGCTCCCCATGAAGATTTTCGTGTCCTCGAGGACAGTGTGCCCTTTTCTTGGGATTCCACATCGCTTAGATAGTCGCCAAGGGTCGTGGAGGAGGCAGAAGGGGTGGGCGATTCTTCGCGCAGAAAAGCCGTTCTCTCCTCCTGATCTTGTGCCGACGACATGCTGAGAGAGAAGATGTGGTATTATTATATTGGTATTACGGTACAATTATGGGTATATGGTCGTATTCGCTCGCTTGGATTGTTGCAGCAGTATACTATCATATAATCAAGTCGTTCGTGCTCGGTCTTGGCGGGTGAGTCTAGTGATTGGTCGAGGGGCGGTGATGGTTGTCAGGGGGGTGTTCTCGCTGTCGCTGTTGACGCACAGCAGTGGAAAAGGCAGTATGCTATCGGGCGAGGGCCCCTACTGCCATCCTGTGACCGCTGGATGTGAGCTCCGGCCGTGGACGAGCTGCGCCTGCGCGAAGGGAAAGCAGCAATCGCGCAGAAGGTTGTGGGTAGAAGAGAAGGAGTAAAAATAAAGCTACATTTCCAGCTTCGTCGTGGTGCTTTTGTCAGAGTCGGGTAGCTGACTGGGGGTACTGGATCCAACTGGGAGCAACTCTAAAAAAGGGAGTACGTACTACGTGGGCTACCCATAAGTGGATACCCTCAAAGTGACCCAAGGGGGGATCCCGGGGAATGCTGCGTCTTGTTGGTACAGGCCGTCACAGCCGAATTGATGGTCTAAAAGCCAAATTCGGGGCGGGAATAAGATTGAAACTAGGTTTTTGCATGCTTTGACATGTTGGATAGGCGAGATAGGTATTCAGCCGTTGGATTGCTTCTTGATACAATGAGACAGCTACCTCATCTCCGAAGGTCCCTTCTTGTCTCTCCGCAGAAGCTGTCATATAGCTTTGTCTATGGGCCTCATCTGATGTAGTACCAACATGATTTCCTATAGCGAATGAGTACAGACAGCAGATTCCAATGCGCTGGGTATCGTATCCTTCACATCACTTGTCAAAGTCATCATCATGCCAACAAAACATTCACTGCACCAATCACTGACAGTTCGACCGAGCCCACAGGAATAACTCGGGCTCCCCCATTCCAAGGGAGAACTCAAAAGCTGTCTCATCAGTGCCTCCAAGGCTGTTTTCTTTTATCAAACCATGCTGCATGCTTGCTGCAGCAGGAGCTCGAGCCGCGCTGATTAGCTCAACCTTAAAACCCCAGAGAGGGCTCGGAGGGCCTGGATCGCTAGAAGAGCCTCCCGCAGCTCTTTTCTTTTTTAATCCCGGATTTTTTTTTTCTTTTTTTTTATTCCCTTGGGTGCCACCGAGCTGGAATGTATTTACTTTTGTAGGCAGTTTGATCTTCAAATCACGACCTGTACCGTAGTGTTTTGTAGTGTCAATACCTTCAGTATTGCCTGTTTCTTGGATAAATTGAGGATGTCATAAGCCAGCCTCCTGCACTTACTACATTATAGGCTTAATGCCAAGCCCCGTCCCGAGACTGGGGGCCAACAGCTGAACGAATGTCATGCTTTTATAACCACCCCCCTTAGAGCAAACAGCACTCAAAGCTACATTCGATCATCTCAGGGAGTGAAGGGAATCTGCCTTACCCCCAGCCGTGGGAAGCGATCTAACAAGAGAAAATAGAAACGCGTTATTGCATGCATGCGCCAACTGGAATTGATCAGTCCAATGACATAGCCCTGGACAGGCAATGATTGTCTCTTACACAGCGCCCGGCAGTTAGTCTATCGAATAATAATCACAAGGGCACTGAAAGGAAGATGATCCTATCACAAAATGATGTCCACTACAATTCATGCCCTACATTCCTTACATTTTTTAACCGATCTGTCACCCGGACCCAACATTCCTTTTTTTAAGATAACGAATCAACGACTCCGATCTTGGTTGTATCTAATAGCGCGTAGGATTCATTTCCTATTCCTTCCCCTTGATTTCACGTCAGTCCGAATCTTGTTATGTGCACTGGAGGGATTGGAGGGATTGGAGGGACTTGATGTGTAAATAGTAAGCGGCAATGACTATACCTAGGTACCTGTCTAGGTATCTAGCGCCACAAACCAATCACCAATATGATGACCTACTGTCACTGGTCGATGTCCAATTTTCTTTATTCATATACCAGACAGAAAAGATACTGAAGGCTCGTGCAATACGTTATGCTCCCGATACCTAGCCGATGTCACACATTCTTCATATTTACAAATCAAAAAGATGAGACTCATCCTTTCAGTGTCGTTGGTTGGGAATTCTTCAAGGGGTCGTCTCATGGAAAACAAGGATTTCAAAATCTATGTAGTGAAGAGCTTAAATGAAGGAATCAACACAGCAACCCAACCACCTTGGGCATTTGTAGATGTCTTCGTCGGCGAGACTTTGGCTCAGCGAGTTCATCGTGATCTGCGGAGTCTGTTAGTCCTGCATCTGCAGAGGAACCGACGTAGGAAAAGGTCGACAGAAACTTACTTCGACAATCTGGGCAATATTGAGACCAGCGCTTGGCACCCATAATCCAGCCCATACCGTCAACATACACTGGATAAGATGGTGCTTCCGGTCTCTTGTCCGAACAAGCACAACAGCGCTTCGGAGTGCTTGTCAAGGCACAGTTTTTCGATGCCCAGTGATCACACCCCTCTTTCGTGTCCCTCTTATGATGCTGTTTTGCCTTCTTAGATCTCCCCTTATACTCGGGCTGTTGCATTCGCTTCTTGTACTTTGGCTCCTGAGTTGTTTGTGGCGTGTAGATGGAGATCTGACTGCAAATCTGTCGACAATTGGGGCAGTACCCTTCCCATCGTTTCGCATTCTGCACCCAACCCTGGCCGTCCACGTACTTGGCATATAGACCTGACTCGGTGTGAACACGACGATCTGCACAAGCACAACATTTGCCGCCAGTAACAGACATCAGGCAGCCACGCTGCAGAAAATGGGAACATTTTGGAGAAGCGGGAAGTGCTGTTACATCATAATGGTTGTCGAGGTTCGTTTCCATGAATAACACGGTTTGATTTTGGGTAGTGAGGTTGGTATCGGCGTTCGCAGGATGGTCTCTGATTTCTTCGTACTCTTTGCATCCGGGACTACGATGCGCACGTTTAGCTTGGCATTGCAGATGGACGATACCAAGACCTGTAAAGAGGTTTGAAAGGAGCCAGAGCGGACGACTTACCAATAGTGCTCCCATCTAGAAATATCACCCGTCAGTCCCAAACCGTCCACATAGGAACGGTATACTTCATATCTGTCACCCGGGCGCAGGTCTGAGCAAGCACAGCATTTGCCAGTGCTGGTAATGACGCATCCACGCTCGAGCCAGTGCTCACATTGATGCATGGACAGCTGTCGTCTCTCGAGCTCCTTTTGAGCGGCAACTTTGAGCAGCTTCTCCATCATTTGGTTGAGGATGGTTGTCTGCTCATGCTCCCGGCAGGCTGGACAGTAATAAGCCCATCGAGTGGCATTTTCGACCCAACCCTGACCGTCGACATACATGGAATATAGACCAGATGTGTTGATGGGTCTCTTGTCGGAACACTCACAACACTGGCCGGACGTCTCGAGTGCGCAACCTTTGCTGGCAAAGTGGCTGCAATTCTGTCGCTCTGTACGATTGATGTCGAGTAGAGTGATTTGTTTCGGCTTGACTATAGCCCAAGAGTCACTGGTAGCATCTTCTGCGGGCTTGTATTCTCCGTCCAGGTAGAAAACCTGTTCATCATCCGAGTCGACACCAATGTCCTCCCAATGGGATAATTCGGGGGAGCGATCCGACATGATGCCAAATTTAGTTGTCCTTGTCGAGGTAGAATGTTTATAGGTAAAGATGCAAGTCTCGGCCTTTAGGAGAAAGAATCTCTAGGACTGGGAGCTTTGGAGATGGGCAATAGAGAGACGATAAGACCCGTGGGAGGAATGGCCAAGAAAGGTATTCTTATAGATGATGGGTAGGTTGAGACCAGTCTTTGCAGCGAAATACTGGTAAACGATGATCTAAGTCAGATCAAACCGGATGATTCAGTAGCAACTCGGCGAATGACAAGCGTCTTGGCTGCCCTCGCGGCGAGCTCTTTTGGGAAGTCGCCTCTCTGTGCTTGTAGATGACTGTGATGGACGGTGAGCCGCATTTGGTTTAGCGTCACCATAAGAAGGATCCATGATATATTTCCGTCGTTTTATCTTATACATGTTTTACAAAAGTAGAAAAGACTGTGTACTTGACTGAAATAAATATTGAACACATTCTGAGTATCGGCGATTCTCAGACATATTTTACGGAATAATACAATGGAGCACTTGAGTCCTTCGTGATTATTTGGTCCCAGCAATCGCTCTTATGATATTGTCACTTTCCTTTAAATTCATATTGCGACTTCCTGCAGCGAGATGCTGGTAGGAGACTACTCTCTGGACTTTTGCACGCTCGATTTTGCCTTTATGTAGGTAGCTTTCTCGGGTTTGTAGGCCCGTATAAACCCTCGAAATATTGAGCAACAAATCCTCTCTTTCTCCTACATGGAAATCGTCCCTCATCTCCTAACCCGAGCTCTTCAACTACTTAAGATAGCATTCAGCATGTTCATCCTTGGCATTCTATTCTTCTGCCTCCGGCTTATTCATCCTGCCCAAGGCGCTGTGGTGCCTCCAATACTTGACACAATTCCTGGTGGACATGGCTAGCATCCAACAAAGGTAGGTAGGTAGGGATAAACACATGGAAATCAGATTTTCACCACTCCTCAACCTCTTGTAATATATTCAATTCTCCATTAGATTCATCTCCTTTAAAATAATCATCTCCCTCAACCCACCACTAACACGCTCAGGCCTACCCCCCAATCTGCAATATCCCAGACTATGACTGGGCCGAGGACAGCCTTGCCGACCAGGTCATTCAGGAGGTACGAGACCGCGGATTCGGGTGCCGCGCGAACCCAGGTCCACGAGTGTGCACGCAACTCGCCTGCGTCGACCCCGGTGTCGCCGTCTACCTGTGCAACGACCTGGACCACGAGCTGCAGATTGACTGCGATGCCGTGGCCGACTATGCCCAGGATATCAAGGACCGCTGCGACAACTTTCCGCTCACCGCCGCCCAGACCACGCAGGGCCAAGAGTTTGATATTGGCGGCTGGAACGTCATTGTGGCCGGGACCTTTGGCGGAATTGGGGGCTGTATCGTCTGAGGAGATCCCAAGATGGCTCGTTATCAGATCGGGTAACCGTCAGCCTTCAGGTCTCTGGCTCCCAAAGAGGCGAGCTGCGATGACTAAGTAGTCAAAAGAAGGCACATTCTTGTAATTTTTCGAAAGTGTCTTATATACAGAAGGATCAGGACAAACCGTAACGCCTGGTTTAATGCACCATCCATCTACTACTGATATGATACAGTCTTTGCGTGATTTGACGTGAGAGTAATACATGTGCAATATACACGTCGCCGTCGCGGACTTTTCTTTGCCCGCCCCTCACCATACCCAAACTATACAGCATCAAGCAATCAGGTTGGGAAGCCTCACCAGAACCATCCTGACTTCTTCTTCTCGCCCGCATCCAGACCAACCTGGTCAAGCGGGCCACCTGTCCTCTGCTTCTCCTTCTCCGTCTCGAAAGCTGCCTTGGCCTTGTCCTTGAGAGCGTCCGCCTGGCCAGCCACAGCCTGGGCGGCGGCACCAGCCCGCCCGGAGGCCGTAGCCTCTTCCTTGTTGAAGCTCAGGTTACCTTGGCTGGCGGCGGTATCCTCCTTCTTCAAGCCGCCGAATAACCACCCAGTAATGCCCTTGCTCTTCGGAGCCTCCACCTCATTCGCACCGCTGAGCGAGCTCTCCTGCAACGACTCGCCCGGCCAGACTGTCCTCTCGGCTGTCGATGTGGAAGCGGCGTCTGTCGATTCCGATGCCTTTGCTGTGCCTAGGAGACTTGGCAATTGCATACCGGCCTGCTTTGCCTTTTCGGTGGCGTCCTCGACCAAGGCGATTTGTTCCTCGGTGGCGGAGCCGGTCATGTAAGCCAGACGGGCTGCCTCGAGACTGTCGGTTTGCAATTGCTGCTGTAGGGCAAAGAATTCATTCCGGCGCTTCCTGTTGTAAACCATCATGTCGACTGTTGCGTACACTGTGACAAGCAAAGCAATTCCTAGAAGAAAGAAACAGGCAACAGTCAGTAAAGCGGTTCTTGGCATGGGATTGGCTCCATTCCTGCAAGAATGAAAGGAAACGTGAAAATGAATCATGGAGCAAGAGATCACACATACCACTGAAACCTATCAAGCCCAAAACTGTGTACCTGTGCGCCGCATCCATATACCGCCGCGAACTGCTAATGACCTTGTCCATCCTCGACACATCATGGTTCCTGGCCGCCAGGTGGGCGGCTCTTAACCTTCTAACCCTCTCGTCCAACGACTCGGGGCGCTGGCCTCCGGGTCCTCCGATCGTGGCAGCCGACGACATGGGCGCAGGCCTCCTCGGCGGTTGGGGGCCTGCTGTTGTCCTCGAACCCGGAGCTGAAGAGGTCTTGGTCGATGACGATGGCTTCTGCTGCTGCTTCTGCTGCTGTGAGACGGCGCGGGCCTTTGCGCTGGCATGTGGTGTATTGGCAGTAAAGCGCGTGGCGTCTGCCACGCTGCGGGGGCCATTGTCTCCAGCCATTGTGCACACGATTTCTTTCCGCGATTGGGGATCTTCCTATTCTCTTCTCCGCAGGCGAAAAGACTCGTACTCGTGTGTGTCGCTGCTGGTTTCCTCCCGAGAGGTTTGTAATGGGGGGCGCGGATCCGAAAGGCCCTAAGGTCGAGGTTGCAGGCAATTTTTTTCTGGGATCTGGTCGTTCGAGTGGTTCAATCAGGAGATAATTTTTGGCTGCTCGATTGGAGCTAAGCTACCCTTGGTATCCATCCGTCTTCTTCCCGCTCAGCACTTCCTTTGCTGCACGGCTGCCATGGGGCCCTGGAATCGCCAGTCTTTAGTGCACGAGGTAACGGGCTAAAAGGGCGCACGGTGGCCCATGTTGATCCGCTCCGTGCTGAGTTTCTGACAGTCCACTGATCATCGAATCAAACGGCTTATAATTGATGATCAGCTAATTGAACGAATACCCGACTCGGCGTACTTTTACATTTTGACATGATTATTGCCATCGCCTCTTATGCTAAATGACTATAGACCCCCGTACTTCTTTCTTTACACGAGGTCCTTGAAAATCACTTCATCTTTTTTGCCCTCACTATACTATTGCTTTATATGTAATATGCAGATCGCAGTTAAGACATTCAAAATCGTGTTCTCTTATGAACATCTTTTGTGCCTGGCAAATTCAATGCATATTCATGGTTCCAACGTAATCATCGGCTCCAAAACAGAAAAGGTGTATTTATATGCTAATTGAGCGAATATTTACAAGAAGATAACAATAGAGGCCAAATGCCGCCAAGCTCAAGGAAGAACTTTGGATACATACATGCGGTGTCTAGACGCACTGGCTGTAGTATGGATTCTGGTAAGTACAAGTATATGGGGACACACAAGCCGTAGGGCCAGTCCACCCTGAGCCGCCACATTGCCCCTAGGGAACGACAGGTTAGCCATGAATCAAGATCTCAACGATGAGATTTCTGCAAGGGAGCAGAGAATCGACAGGTAGTCACTCCAAAAAAAAAAAAAAAAAAAAGGAATACTCACATATTGTCCAGCAACAGCTGTTGATGTGGATGATGCCGCGGTGCTGGTGCTGGTACTAGTCGTGGTACCGACCCGAGTTGTTGATGTCGAAGTTACAGTCGGTGAGGTGTTCACGGTAGACGTTGTCGAGGTGGTACTAGACCGCGCCGTGGTAGTGCTGGTGCTTGTTGTTCTTACGCTGCTAGACGATGTGGTAAGTATGGAGGTTGTGCTGGACTTGGAGGAGGTGGAGGTGGAGGCCCGCGAGGTGGTGGTGGTGGACGAACCGCTGCCGATGCTGCCCTGCGCCCAAAAGACGCCGCGCCCGTTGGTGCCGACGTAAACCTGGCCTGCCGTGTTGCCGCTGCCCGCGACCCGGCACGCGTCAATGGCGCCAAAGCCTTGGCTGCTGCCCTGGATGTCTGTCCACGTGGCGCCGCTGTCGCCGCTCGCGTACAGCCGCGCGCCCGAAGATCCCGTGCCAAAGGCGTATACGTTCCAGGTGGTTCCGGATCCGAGGCCCAGCGCGATCTGATACGTGTTGGTCACGGCGGTCGATGGCTGAGTAAAGGTCGCGCCGTAATCGGTCGAGTGGAAGATGCCGACATCAGTAGACACCCAGACGTCGCCAGCGGTTGCTGGGTTTACGGCAATATCGCGGATAGCTGTGGCACTACCCAGTGTACCGGCCGCGGCAAAAGTGGCTCCGGTATCCGTACTGACGTAAAAGGTCGCCGATGATCCAGCATAAAAGTACGTGTTGGTCTTCTTGTCCGAGACGACCACGGCGCCAGAGGGCAGGCTGGACACGGCCGAGAAGGTGGCCTGGTATTGCGAGCGCAGTACGCCATTGGATGAGGACGACCACAGGACCGTGTCGGCATCGGCCGAGTACGCCACGGAGCCTCCATAGGTTGCAGTGTCGGCTGCGTAGTCAATGTTCCAGCTCGCGCCACCGTCGGTCGAGAGGGCCACCTGCTGGGTGCCTGCCACGTTGCCGACCCGGACAACGTTGGCGGGCGAGTTGCCGGCATAGTCGACGCCCGTAGACGATGCCCACTCGGGGTTCAGCCAGTTTGTCTGTGGTGGAGTGTCGAGATCGCTGGCGCTCGCAAAGGTGAAACCGTTTTCGTCGTAAATGGCAGCGAGGAGCTCACTGCCTCCAGCAGCGGATGCCAATTCTTGCACGGCAAACTCCTCGATACCATCGGCTAATGCCTGAATGGAGATGTTGTGGACAGTGTCCCAGTTGGTCAGATCATGACCGCCATATATCGTCAAGCCGGTTCCATACAGCCAGTGGTCGCTGTCGTGGGGGTCAATCTCGAGCGACTCAATCATCCAGCCTAATTTTTTGGTGTCCAAGTCCACGAACCCAGTCTTGATCCATGGGGCTAGTGATGTCTACCCTTTTGGTCAATATTTGATACTCAATCATATCAACAAGAGGCAACTTACAGTGAGTCCATAGTAGTAAGCCATGGTGGGATAGCTGACCCATTCCCAAAGTTTACTCCAGGTGGCGCCGGAATCAGTCGAGCGGAAAATCTGTGCATCGGGCCACCAGGAATTCAAGCTCGCAACGACGAGCGTCCCCGGATTCTGCAGATCAAGTCCTAGACCGCCAAAGCCAAAGTACAGGTCCGATCCACTGACGGGGGTAATGTTGGTCCAGTTGCCAGCGGTGATATCGTAGCGGTACACTGCCCCCGCGGTACCGTCATACGGACCAGTACCGTCCGCATAGGTGATGTACAGAGCCTTTTCGTCTGGCTGCAGCTTGCCCTTGTGCGGGAAATACTGCACGGGCTGACCGGCGACGGCAGACCACGTGCTCCCGGCGTCTTCGCTGACGTAGACGCTGGCCGTGGTGTTGTCTGCCGTTCCGACAAAGATGCGCGAAGTAGCACCGCTCGTGGTGCCCGAGGTGGAGTCAAACGTGACCCAGGTCAGGCCCTCAATGTCATTGTTGTAACCCGTGGTGTCGGTGGGATCTGCCGCATAGGTTCCCACGGCGGTAAACGAGGACACCTTGGAAAACGACACACCGCCGTCGGTGGATTTCCAAAGACCATTGCCGGACCGTGCTCCAAAATAGAGGATATTGGAGTTGGCCGGGTCAACGGCGAGGCGCTCGCCCACGCCGCGGCCGGGCATGTTACCGCCGACCTTGAAGGTCAGATTTGAAAAGGACCAAGTTTCGCCGCGATCAGACGAGCGGATAATGGCGCCGTTATTGGGATCCCACGAGTTGGTATACATGCCCACGGCGGCATAGACCTTTTGGTCGTTTTGGGGGTCGAGCGCAATGGCATCGATACCCCAGTTATGCCATCCCGCATTGTCGGCGATGCCGTCCGTGATGGGCGTCCACGAGTCGTCGTCTGCGTTGAGGCGGTAGATGCCGCCGATATCGGTACGGGCATACGCCACGCCCGCCGTCTCGGGGTGGAAGACGATGCCCGGTGTGAAGCCGCCGCCTCCGCCAATCTTGACATTTTGCCAGGTAAAGGCGGCGCGGATGGGCTCCAGAGCCGCCGCCGCGAGCAGCAGGTAGAGGGAAGAAAAGTGCTTCATGGTGGCGACGACGGTGAACCCGCAAAAGAATTCCCCAAAAACGAAGGTATGCCAAGTTGCCTTGAAGCCCCTAGGTTCTCTTCTGCTTCTTCTTTAATGGCGCTGTGCGACATACAGGCTATTCTTATACTTGCCCGTCCATCGTGAAGGACCCCTGGTTCTGCCTCCAATGACAGCGGCTCGGAGGTCTTGGCGGACAATATAGCAGCGACATCCCATTCTGGGGTTCCCGGGCGGCTTTTCTGGAACGATTCCCGATAAACTTTTTCTTGTTCACCAAAACTTCTTCGTGATTTCTCGCCCAGACCCTCAATAATTCTCCAAGAAATCCTAGCTCACTCAATTAAAGCTTCCCTCCCCAAGGGAGATGAAAGGGAGGAACATGGCGTACTCTGATCCGGCGGCCATGAGTCGGTGCATTTCTCCGCGAATAATAGACCCCTGCCCCCCTGGACTGACGTCGCTAGTGAGCCGCAGAGTCTAGACTATATCGGACCACCATGGAACAACGTGCTCCGTGACGCTCGGAAGCAACCGAGATTATCTGTCACCCGTGACTATTCGGTAGGCTGTGTTACATTGATATTGTTGGCAAGTGAATATGTGACAGGACAAGATTATTTGGACGCAAAGTCCGTGTGTTGAAGAATATTTCTGTGAACCATTTTTGTATTCTTGAGCTAAAGCAGGGAGCACCTGTGTAGGGAACATCACTTTGAATACAGTTTATACAAGACACTGGCGATATGCGGGCGATAGGGCTGGAGGCCAAAGATCAGTGCGGGAATCCCTGAAAGATCTTCAGGGACAAAGTGCTACGTGTCTCTCAAATTGGGCAATTGCATCATTCATCATAAATGCAACCCGGCCGAGGGTAGGATCTCGCGTATGCATGGCTCCGAACTACGTTTTGTCACACATATATAGGCACCAACGAACATGAAGATGGCTCGCTTACACATATGCAGCCATCATGCCACATGATCACGGAAGCAATGAGATTCCAGGACACATTTGCAGTCTTCAGTAGAGCCATGGTATTGGTATTATTATCTGACCTTCAGTGACAGAATCTGTCAAGTTGATCGCATATGCAGCAAATGGTTTTTCCAACTTCCCCAGGGAAACAATATAGCTCAAACGGGATTGCTGGTGTCCAATGCGCCAACGGGAAATATGGTATCTCATGTCAAATTAAACGCTCGTCGCTTTCAAGGGTACCGTGTAGATAAATCAAGAACGTTCCAAGACGATAAAGTAGAATCCGTCTATGAGTAGCCACTAGCCAGTGACGCCGCAAAACTCGTGGCACTCTTGCGCGCCGACTTTTTTATATCCTTTACGAACCCGTCAAAGGCCTTTTTCTGCATCGGTATAGAAGCAGCGCGACGGTCCTTTGCCAGGCTCATAGAAGACCATCCCCTAGCTGTTGGTGACGTCGTGCGGGCCATGGTCTCACTCAGGTCTGTCGTGTTTGCACGCCTTAGGGAAGGAGCGGGTGCCTGTAAAGAGTCTGCAAGCAGCCCACCGATTTCGCCATTGAAGTAGACATCGCGGTGAGCGGTATCAGTGACCATGGGCTGGTCGAAGCCGCATGTTTTCTGTCTACGGACGACTCCGGGAGGCATGTAAATGCTACTCCCTCCATCCTCGTTGCTCTCCGCCTCTTCCTCATATTGGACCTCGTGTGTATGATCGAGGGCGTGCCCCTGACGGAGCTCTTGATAAAGTAGAGAACCAACTGTATCGCTTATGACGGGGGCGTTGAAGAGACGGCGGCACTGACGGACGCCTGTAGCCAAATCCTCATTGCCAATCATGCGTATCTCCTCGAGCGTCGGGGTGCCGCGGAGTGTGATGTTGTCAAGATGCTCGGGAAAGTGAGATTGCAAAAAGTCGAGCAGAAACTCCCGGCCCTTCCATTCGGCTATTTCCTTCTGATAGTTGCGCTGGTCCTGGAGGATACGCTCCTCTTCTTGTTGCTGTTCGGGAGGAGGGCTTTTACATTTCTTCCACTTGCGCTTGCTCTTTGCCATCCATTGAATATCCTGCTTGGTGTCCTTGGTTTGCTTTCTGAACTCTCCCGAGTCCTGGTTAAGCGCCGGGGACGGACTCTTGAGAGACATGCGAATGTCAGTAGTGACCTTCACAAGTCTGGTCTCAACTTCTCTGGTAGGCATGGTGGACTTTGGTGATTGGGATGGACTCCAAATACTGCCGAGCTCTACCTCGACTTGATAGCAATCTTGTCTTACTTCCTCGTCGAGTTGCCAGTCAAGAGTACTGGTTTTTGATAGAGAAGGGACGCTCATGTGAGCTCTTGGCTGATAGCTGATGGTGCTCGACATTTGGAATAATGATTAATATGTGATTTTCCTGTTGTTTTGCTGTTGAATCGATGATTCACGTCTGATGGACACTTCTAGGACTTTGTCGTGACGAGAAGAGGAGGCCGAGAATAATTGCGCTCGATGTGAAAAAAGCATGAGGACAAAATATTGACAATAAAGATCTTTGGGCAAGAAAGCGTGCAAATTAAGGTTGTTGATGCTTCACCTAATATTACTCTCTGGTGTTTGATGCTTCTTTTGGATTATGCAGAAATCATGTATCAAAGTCCGATATGGTTCTCAACGTTCCCACCAGATGGATGCAAGTCTGCTGATTTTGACGTTTCTGAGGCTTAATGCTGGGGATATGTAAGCTTGTTGGCCAACTCTGTTGGTATGGTGTGGCAGTCAATGGCCCGGCAATGACGATATGCATTTCTTTATGTATGTTCTCTCCTTCATCGGAATCTGTTCTTCTGCAGTTGGATTCTTTCATCAAGCTCCGGTAATGTGATGCACACATATGGCATGCCACAGCGAGTCTCATCTGTAAGTTATTCACTCTTTTCCGCGGCCGGGATGCGCTTCCCCGGTGAAACATGCTGCGTAGTAAAGGTCTTGCAAGTCTCAAAGGCACAATAAAAGGAGCGAACCGGGTGTTACCATACTTATCCGCGAAGAAAAGAAAAAGACATCAAAGAACATTTTGGTCACATGTAATTTGACGTTACCCGGGACCAGCCCCGAAAAGCCACTGACACTGACGTTTATGCCTAGACCCAGAAGACCCCAAGCCACACCAACGGTGAATCGGTGAATCGGTGTATAGAGGCATTCTTCGGCCAGGACCAACCAATGGCCAGGCGACCGAAAAACTTCCAACATCCAAAGCAAAACCTTGCGTACAATTGTTGGACATTTCCATGACAAACTTGGCCATGAATGGTCAAGTCCCTTTTTCGAAATAGGTTTACCGACTTCTGCTGCGATGAAATTCGGTCTCCAGTACGATAACTTCAGGATAATCACAGAGTAGGTGACTCTAAAGTGTAATTGCGTTGCTCACTTAGCGCAATTCACCCGCATATTGGTCTGAGTGCCTTGAAGGCCCTCCAGCAACCTGCCAGTAACGGAACAAACCGCCGCATAGTGTTGGAAATGGTTTATTGGTAAAATCGAGACGCTGTCTCCAAGGGGCGGTTCCGACTGGCCACCTGCACCAGGGGGTCAGTTTCGCAGACTACGGGCTCGAAATCCGAGTGCACTGTTCTACTGTGCTTTGTCATTGATGCAAGTATGTCCAGGCCAATCAATTCGAGTTGAAAGACGTGGTCTCTGGACTTTCTCCAGAAGTAAGCTCGTGGATCATTGATCTGCTTCAATTATGGCACCCGGAGCCATTTCCGAATTGTGACTTCCCCGCCGGCGCCTTGGTGCCAGCTACCAGAGACATGCTTGAAATTGTTCAGCATGCACAATGGTCGAACCTCAGACCGGGTATGACCCATAGTCTACCGGTTGGCCTACGCCTGCCGACAAGTCCCTTGTGAGGAAAGTCAGAACGCGGCTTTCAAGGTCGAGGGAGCGACGGCATTTGGTGAGGGCCACGGGCTCGAGACATCGACGCGAAAGGCTGCCGACAACGCCTTCAATGCGTGTCAGGCTCGGATGCATCACTGGCGAACCGCTTGCTCGACCAAGCACTCGGGCGTAGCTTGTGAAGGCGAGGCGGAGGAACCGTTCATGGCGTGAGCTCTGGGTTATAGGCAGGGCAGTTGATGACGAAGAAGCATAGACTGCAAAAGCATTGCGCCACATATGTTCGTTGAGGTCGCGATCATTAGGGAAAACTATATTCAAGCATCCAAGTCAGAAATTGTCTTGAAACAACAACCGTGAGTTGTTTGTGAGAAAACACATTCCATGTTGCATATCATCTCGTTTTACACGAAAATGAGAGAAGATACCACGACTTACTGCGACTTCGTGGCAGTGCCGATGCACATCGTGCCTGTATACGATCCGCGCGCGGGTTATAGCCGTTGAGGAAATAGCAGTCCATGACAATGAGCTGACACCATCTGACCAGCTGGTTCTCAACTTTCCACCACGACTCCGATTTCTTCATGCTGCCGTCATCGAGTCGGAGGATGTCGTCAATGCATTCGGTCATAAAGTCGAGGTAGGCGTCATGGCCCTGTGTCTCGATGTGGGCCACGAGAGCACGCAGGAGATGGTAGACGGCGCTGCCCGTGGCGCCTAGAACGCTCGCCATATAGGCTGACAGGTATCGCCAAAGCTCGAGAGTGACGTCTTTGTTGGCCCACCACAGCTGACTCACTAGGAAGTTGAACAAGGTGTCAAGCCTCGGCGGATGCACAAGCGCGTGGACTGAGCTGAAGGCTGAGTCGCAGATGGAGCCAGCTTGCTTGTGTCGTTTCTCGGAGAATAGATCACAGGCAAGTTTCAAGTACCTCGGGGCATCCCAGAGAGATGTGGTTGATTTATACTTGATGGATGAAGAGTCGGAGAGCCTAGCGAAGGACGGTGTAAGATCCTTCAGGGATCGCATCAATAGTTCCTTGAGTGAGAGAGATCCTGGCGTAGTGGAGAAGGTTTCCGGTGGCGGCGTGCGACATCTCACAGTCCCAGGAAGTTCATTCTTGGAAACTGGCATGTTTCCATTGGGTAGGACGATGCCATGCTTCTTCAAGTAACGATCGATCTGAACAACTTTGCCGTTGCGCTCAAAAGTTGTCTGCTTTCCGACGGCCGCGCGCTTTTGCCTGACCAAGATCATCTTGGCAACATCTTCTCGATTGTTGTTCTTGACAAAACCCCATTGCTTGAACCTGGTCTTGTACATCTTTGCGCTGTATGAACGGTGAGCAAAAGACCCATCGGGTATGTGTAACAGAGTCATCATGAGTAGCTTCTCACCTTGCACTAAACCCTTTTGCTTCCATAAAGCTCATGATCTCTTTCAGAGTTTTATCCTCGTGAATGTATAACCTCTTCAGTTCCGCCTTGTGCGCCTCCCATACCTCTCCTTTCTGGGAAGCTACATATGCCTTGCGGCCGGTTGAGAATTTGAACTGCATCTCTGTGAACGACTTGGCCCGCGGAGTCCGCGCTCTTCGTTTGCATTGGGCGGCAGAAGTGCTAGTGTCGGGTTCGGAGCGTGAGTATGTCCATTCCATGTCATTGGAAATGGTGTCGGCATTAAAAACGTCCAGCATCATGTCATCCATGCTAAAGGACAAAGTCTGCTGCGGGAACAGCTCATCATTTGTCAGAAACCCAGAAGAGAATGCATCATCTGGTAGTACCCAAGATGTTGCAGTGACATCATCGGGAGACCATGGTGCTTTGAGCAGAGCCTCGAAATCATTGCCTGGAGACGTTGGGTAGCACGGGTCCATGACTGGAACTTCCACAGCGGTTGCGCCTATAGAAGAGATCAATTGGCAAGAGTGGGAGAGAAGGAAAGGAGATGGAAGAGACGGAGTTCTATCGTCATTTGGGAAAAAAACAGAATCAAAAATTTAAAGACAAGCAAGCTTATCGCGAGGTTGACTTTGAATCCTCCGTACAATCGGGGTCGTCCATGTACTCCATAAATGTAACTACTGATCGTCTTTGCATCTTTGATGGAGGAGGGGCCACATGGCAGATGGATGGCGGGACGCGCTGGGCTGAGGGAATCGCGACCAACAGTGGAGCCTTTCTCTTCGGGAGGGTATCCACTTTATCAATTGTCCTTTGCTGATTGGTTGAATTCTGGACAGTCCCTGCATTTCCAAAGTTCCTGGTTGCCAGATCTGGTAAAGGGCCTGCCTACCTAGACTTTGGAGCATGGGGAAGGATCAGCGGCGATTGCAACTCCACCTGTTTGTGCGACGAACAAGAACATCTGTCAAAGGGCAGCAACATTGAATTGTTGATGAATAAAAGGTGCAATTATTTCTACTGAACCGACCAAAGATTTGTACCAACCCTCAAATGATGCATGAATCTGTCGATTTCTCTAAGTATCAGTTGTCAAGCCAGAGGGAATCCCCGTCCACAAAATGAATTCATGAGGGGCCGCTATTCACAAGCTAGACGTTCAGTATAGTACGTCACTTGCACCAAGTTCGTGGCGTCTGCATAGTATGTCTGGCCGCCTGCGCTGGCAACTTGTCCACAACGAGTAACTTGATACGAGCAAAGCTTTGAAGAAATTATCTAGATTCCAAAATATAATTCTTGTCTTTGGAGCTCATTGTGACAAGCGAAAAAACTGCAACTGTATGAGCAATCGCGGAAACTAGAACTACCAAGACATATATCACATACAGCACATGGACTACACGATTCAAAATGCAGAAATTGGTGTGAGAAATATCATGCTTTGATCTCATTACTCATATCGTATCTTCTACATGCTAATCTCCTCCACTCGTCTTTCTCGTCTTGAGGGTATCATCAAAAAGAGACATGAAACATTTCCATGGCTCTTTACTTTTGTTTTGTTTGAATTACATAACTTCATCTTGTTTTACTCGTGGTCAACCTCGAGCTCCTTCTCCTTCTCCATCAGACCAGCCGACGGGGCAGCGTTCTGGGCAGCAGCCTGCTGGCTCTTCTCGGTCCAGCGGCCGTGAAAAAAGTTGCTCATGAATTCGGCAGTGTTCTTCAGGTTCATGGCCACAATCTCCGAGGTCGGCTTCTCAAAGAGCAGGTCAATCTCCTCGAGGGTCTTGTCCTTGGTCTCGGGCATGAAGAGGATCTGGTAGAACCAACCGAGGAAGGCAATGCCGCCGTAGAAGCCGAGCATCAGACCCTGGGGCGTCATGGCCTCCTGCATACCAGAGAAGTTGTAGGTGACGATGAAGGAGGCCAGGAAGAGCAGAGCATCCGAAGTAGTCATACCCCAATGTCTCAGGTAGGTGGGGTAGACCTCAGAGGGAACGACCCAGGTCAAGCAGGCGTAGCAACCAAAGAAGCCCATGTACAGGATAAGACCGACCATGTAGCAGGCAATGGCGCCGTTGGGGTTGGTTGTGACATCAATCTGGTAACTGCAACCAATGATGACGAGACCAACGAAGAAACCGGGCAACATGGCATTGGCCCAGAATCGTCGTCCGAACTTCTCCATGTAGAAACAGGCGGGAATAGTACCGAGCAGAAGAGAGCCACCGCCAACGAGGGACATGTAAGTGGCGTTGGTGTCGTTGAAACCAATCTGGGTCATCAGGGTCGACATGTAGTACATGATGGCGTTGACACCAGTAAGCTGTCCGAGCAGAATCATAATGTTGGCGTAAACCAGAGCACGGCGGGCACGGGGTACAGAGAAGAAGTCCATCCAGGGGAAGCGCTTGTTCTTGGCGCCCTCGGAAACCTGGGACTCCTCATCGAGCACCGACACCTTCATGACAAAGAACTCTTCCCTGGCCTCCTCGGTCTCGGTGCCACGAATGCGCTTCCACACCTTGTAGGCATCGAGCGTGCGGCCCTTGAGCATGAGGTATCGGGGAGACTCGGGCAGGAAGAGCATGCCAATGAACATGATGGTGGAGAAGACCAGCGAGGATCCCAGAATGTATCTCCAGTTGCCAGGAACGTTGAGGAACATGGCGGCAACGGCATAACCGAGGACTTCACCAAGGGCAATATTGAACTGGTAGAGGGAGACCAGGTTACCACGGACACGGCGTTCGACAGTTTCGGCGACATAGACGGGGACAGTACCACCCTCGAGACCGACACCGACACCGAGGATAACACGAGCAGCCACAATCATGCCTTATAATCTTGTTAGTTTTCGGGGGTTTGCATATTTCGGAAGATCCTGAGATGATCAGGACTGTTAAAACTCACCATAGTTCATGGAACCGGCCTCGAGGGCACCACCAATAGTGTACAGGATAGTCGAGATAATGATAGACCAACGTCTTCCGAACCATTCGTTGAAGGGACCGAGGAGGATAGCACCGGCGACGGCACCGAGGGGCATACCGGAGTTGACCAAACTGTTCTGTCGAGTGTCGAGACCGAGATCGCCGGGAAGGAAGAGGTTCGCGCCAGAGATGAGGGATTGATCGAGACCAGAGAGCAGACCACCCATGGAGGCGAAAGCGACAATGACCCAGGTAAAGTGCCTGGGGTCCTTGAACTGGAGGTCGAAGAAGCCCTTGTCCAAACCACCAGCGGCGGCAAGTTCTTGCTCCATCTCAAAGATGACCGACTCGACGACTCGGCTGTTGGCTTGGTGGACGGCCATGGCATCTTTCTCATTCATACCCGGAAGGGTCTGCGAAGGGTATTCGACCTGGTCGACGGCCTTCTTGCCCGTAGGGGCTTTTGTCACTGATTCTTCGGCCATTTTTGCTGTGCAGTGTTGTGTGTGACTGTCTCGATGTACTAGAAGGCTCCCTGCAGCTAAGAGGGAACTGGTACAAGATAAAGGGAATGAGACGAAACTGGAGAGCAAAGGGGAATCAAGAGACAATACGATCTGGAGAGGCAGGGAGGCATGTATATACCCTTTTGTAGCTTCTCTCAACCACGATACGACAACCCGAAAACGGATAATACCGGCCAACCCAACACATGGTAGACTACCTCCCGAGACATTCTAGCAAGCATCGTTTTGACATCTATGTCATTGTGGGTAACGGTTTTGGTCACTTGACTCGAGACGCGACGTACATTGGGATGCTCAACTCGCGATAGTGGAGCCCCGAACAGACGAAATAGGACCGAAGTAGGAGCGCATCTCCCACTGGGGCCCCAGCTACGAGAGACCCAGCAGCGCTGCATGGTCTGGAGTGCGCGTGGGCTGGCTTTGGGTGGGCTACGAAAAAAAAAAAAAACCGAGTGTCTGAAAAAGTCTGTCTCCAGTCTCCAGAAAAGGGCTCTGGAATCCCACCTGGAGATGGGCGCATCAACTGGACGGGGAAAGGACCGATTGCCAAACCTCCGCAGCTTGCCAACATCAGATCAGCGCGATTGGCAGACCAACATGCGCCAAACAAGGACCAACAAGGGAAAACATTTTTCGCTGATTATCTGCAACCACTGCGACAATAAAAAAAAAGTTTATCGCAAGATATGGCAGTTGCCAAGTCGATCCGATCATGGTAGTCGATCAGACCAATCACAAAACATGAGCCGCATGCCAGGCAAAAAAGCGCAAAGAAATGGTCAAGAAAAGCTTGGTAGCGGGAAAGGCGACGGGAGAGGCGCCCTGGGCCTTGGCTGACCGGGAAAAGAATTTGCCCACTGCCAATGGGATTTTGTCCATGCGCAGTGCCCAGCCTACAATAGGTGCTAGGTCAGGTAGGTAGGCTGGTAGGTAGGGTAGTAGTAGCACTGGTACCTAGACAACGACCGTTTCCCCTCGAGCATAGAGCGTTAATGCTCGCTTCTTTTCTCTCTTCTGAAAATCAAATAGTATGTAACAGATGGCATGGCGTGGTCTTGGCAGCCGTCGCGCCGATGAATTACTGGATGCAGCCAAGAAATCCGACGGGCGGACACAAGCTTGGATTTTTAGCAATCAACAGGCAAAAAAAGTCTACCGAGCAGTGACCCCCATCTTCATCCCGCGTGCCTGGTTTTGCTCCTAACAGAGATTTTTCTTTTAACTAAAATCATAGTCGCTTGTCACGTACATATTGATGGGAATTAGCATTGATAGGGCATTGGAACCGAAAATAAACCAAGCGCCGTTCCTGGTCTTCTTGTAGTAGTTTTTTGATACAATAGCGCCACCCGCCCGCCCGCCCAAAATGACTCGTATATCCAGATCCAGGAGTAGCTGGTCGTCTTACATACTTCTCGCCCGTCTGGCTCGCAAAGAAGAAAAAGAAAAACGCGCCCATTCGAGGTTGCTAGACCCGCAACGTCCCACGGACAGACCGAGAAGCCACCGGGACTAATGCCCATTGATGCTGGGGCTCCTTCTTTTCCCATCCCGCTTTTTCAGTCTGGCATTTGTCTGGGCAGACCTCACTCTTTTTTAAAAACATGAGCATGGTGAGGGGGGTGGGAAAGAAAAATGCGGTGCCTGTCCACCCCGTTTCATTATCGTGCGACCGCAAAGGTATTTGGTACTATTCCGTACTATTCTGTCTTTGTGGCTTGCCAACCCATGCTCTTTCCGCTCACCATCCCACCGACCCCTTTCCCTGTTGGGAAGAGGGGAGATGACTTCGCAAGAAAAACGGGTTGAAGGGCACACGACCAAATGACGTCGGCGTCAGAGGATTAAAGAGAAGGGCTGGCGCGGCCATCATGACTTATCAGGTCATTCCATCTGCCTATCGCGCAGGCTATCGCTAAACTACCTCGTCCCTCGCTCGCGGGAAAGGAAGCGAGCGACAGACAAGACCTCGATTCGGAGCGAAACACTGGCTTTGACTGGTCGAGATTCAGGGGATACGCTAGAACTCTTCTAGAACCCGGTCCGGCACCAGGCAAGTCAGAACTGGGAAGTCTTTTGGTTGATCTCTACCGTTTCATGCTTACGTCGTCCGTGCCGCCCATGAAAGACAACAACGACGACGACGACGTGCGGCCCGGTCGGTTTTATTTTTCTTGGTCGAGCTTTCTTGATCTCCCATTCGATCAATTAACTAAAAAATCGTTGGGCTGAGAGCGAGCTTTGACTTGGAACCAACTTAGGTAATTACAGGCGAGTCGACCTCGACTTGCTCGAGTCGGCATTATCGATCTAATCAACATCAGCCATATCAAGAAGAAACACACACCACACAAAGGATGCCTAGAGTCAAGAGTAGTGGGCATTTGATGGGATTATTGATTATTAGGACTTCCAAGTGCCTGTTTTGCCCTACCTGTACCGTGTATTATTTCGAGATCCATAACATAACCCGGAAAAGTGGTATGTAATAATAGCGTGATAGAAATAGTCTTTGCCAGCAATGGACAAAGAAGTACCTTGTACTTTATAATAGGCAATAAGCCAATCACTTTGAATGTAACAGTCCTCCCCTGTCAGATTGCCTTCTCTTTTCTGTTTTATTCACGGGCCTCTCTTATCTTGTTTTTGTCTCCTCCTTACCGGCACTGCGCTCGACTTCTGTAGTTTTCTTCCGTTAGACCCAGTCTTTTGTGCTGGCTCCAGTCAATATTGTCAAGAGAGGTAACCTTCTCCTCAAAATCTGCATGGGGCAACTCTATTTTGTAATCAATGCCCAATACCGTGGCTCGCATGGCAAGCATGGCTCAAACGGCTCAGTAGTAATGGTTCTAATGCACCAGTTTGAGTTCACAAGCGTCGATACCTCCCGTCGTCCGCATATTGCAGCTCCATGTGGGACATGTACAAGTGGAACTCAAAGTAAAATGTGAATCAAATGTATCTTTTCTGGCGACAGGGTGCTCGGCATCTATACTAGTAAAGTGCGTACGAATCCTTGTTCGTCTCAAATGTACATCCCTACTTGGATGTTGTCATGCTTATAATTGACCATCTTGCAAAAGCTTGCCTCAAGACCAAATACTTCAATGCCTTGCAAAACTCGCTTAGAGGACAACAGGATTGGCCTCAAGTCCGCTGATGAGATATCCTCCATAGCCATCGCCGCCTGCCTCGATCTCTGCTTCGCGGCTCCAGCCAGCCTTCTTCAGCAGATATTTACCTCTGAGCCACAAGCGAATGCAGGTGTCAATAGGCTTGGTCTGCTTGGACTCGAAGGGAACCAGCTTTGAGAAACCCATATCGAACGAGGTCATTGTGCAGCCACAAGCGAGGCCCGGGATGATATCCTGACGCTCGAAATCCTTGCTGACAAGAGCTAGTTGTTGCTCGTCCTTGTGCATACTGGCCGTGACATCCGCCGTTTTGGTACGCCACAGATCGGCTTCAGGGCCCATAGGCAGTTTGGCAACATGCGGCGGGCAGTTCTCGCAGAGACCATGGGCGTAGCCTATGTCTCGGAAAAACCAGACGCGACTCTTGGGGAGAAACATGCTAACACTTAGAGTGTGGATGGGTGCATCACCGTATCTCTCGTAGAAGAAACCACCTGCGTGATCCAGATAATCGAAATAAGCACGGTGTTGCTTGCCGCGGAAAAATTCGAGGGAACCGATCTCGAAGTTGGAATAGAACTGGCAGTTATTGTACTGGGTACCGGCCGTGGCATGATAACCAACACCAGCACGAACCATGCGGTCGGGTTCATCCGTCTCATGAAGAAGCCAGCGCATATCTGCGTGAGGGTGAACCAAGTTTGCGTTGTTCTTCTTGAACGTCTGAGTGCGCTCCCACAGGGAAGGGAAGGATCGGGCGTCGTCCAGGATTGCCATATTGAATCCATAAGCCATGTTGTTGTCACTCATGAATTTGAAGACATCATAATTAATGTCACAGGTGTATTGGACCTGAGGTTGGCACAGGTTAGCGACAAGATCATCTTGATCTGTTAACAGCTTCACAGATTTCTACTCACATCGGGCTCAACGCGCCAGTACCAGTCATAACTCAACAAACGGTCCTCGAGGGCAAAAAGACCCGAGTTCCAACGACACATCTGGTGGTAGCTCTTTAACCAGGCTTTTCCAACGCCAATACCACCCTGGAACTCACGGCCGACATTGAAACGGGATTCATCGATCCACTCGGGTATATCCCAGTGGGAAGCCTTGATCTGCTCAAAGTGCACGGTCGAGGAGGTAGCATTGGTTATGGCAGCCTTGAACTCATCCGAGAAGGGCTCGTCGTTGAACAGGACCCAGTCGTATCTGTGCATCTTTCGACTGTTGAATCGCGCCTCGACTTGCAGGATGGAGTGAACCATGCCATCCTGCTCCGAGTTGCGGACAAGTGCAATTAGAGCAGCCTTGGGCTTGGGCTTGTCAGCGATCAAGTTCTCAGCCGACAACTTCCCAACCGGCTGGTTGTAGCTGTTATCCCGGAGCCACTGAACAGGCGACTTATCTCCAACCTGGGTGGGAGGATAATTAACAAGGGGGACGGGCGGGGTATATCGAAGGGGGACAGTCAAGGGTTTCTCGGTCTCCAATCCAATAAACATGGTTCTGGGAGAGACGGCATAGAGGAAGAGCCAACAAATCGCCAGGGCTGCGACCATTTGGAGGACGCGAAAAAGGATGGGGTGTCGGTTGCTAAGATTGCACGGTTTAACAAAGGTTCAGTGTATACTGCACAAGAATTGACTCACCGAAGACCGCCCCGTCTCAGTCCTCGGACAAATTCCGACCAGGTGTGATGGAAGTCGTCTGCCATCTTGCAGCGTCTTGATTGACCAGTGCTGTGGAACAGGGTATTCGGACTTCAGATTAGGGGGGTGAGAGATGGGATCAACAAGAAGGAAATCGATGGAGTATTGTGACCAAATACAAAATGAGACTGAAAGTAGATGGTGCTTTCACAGGCACTCGGTGTGTGATGGACGGTTGTTGTAGTTGTTGGTACACAGCTGAGCGGCGCGAAGAGTCGAAGTTATTGTCGCCCTCACCAAAGTGACAGGATTGGGGGGACGACAAGAACTGGTGTCTCTGGACAAGGAGGATACCGAGCAAAGACACAGAAATGATGCTGTTGTTGTTGTTGTGATTGTTGTGCTTGGTGGCCGCCTGGACAAACGGCGATCAATGAACAAACAAGTGTTTGACCAGAGGGGGTGTTGGAGGGGGCGAGCTCTGGGAAAACACCATCCACTGGACAACAATTGGCGGGGAGTTGGAATAACATGAAAGAGCTCGGACTGTTTAAGGTCTACGTGACTGCCTCTCGGCCAGGCAGCGTCTGGGTGAAGCAGACGAAGAAGCTCCTGCACAGAGTTGGGCGACGGCATACGTTGTAAGAGTCCTGTCAAAGAGGGAAGACACTAACTACAATTATCAACTTATTGAAATTATCCATTCTGTCCAGCCGGTGAAAGTCAATAGTCTATCGTAGCTCACATCTGTAACTAATTCTCTGGTCCATCGCGACTTCTGTATCTGAAAACAGCCAGGACCTCTGAAGCACCCAGTTGACTGACTAGCTGCCAAAACACCACAGATGGCGCGTGGTGAAGCTGTTGCTGTTGAAACAGGGACAAACCACATGGCGGGGTATTCTGATCCCATTACCCCGCGTCTTCCATCTCAACTCTGCCAGTATGGTCTTGCACTTTCTTGTTGCTGACGATTGTGGTTGTGTAAAGAACAATATGGACACCATATTCACTCTACAGCAGCAGCAGTTCGAAGAACGCCATCGAAGAACGCCTTCGAAGAATTATAGCGAAGAAATATAGCGAAGAATGATATGGCTGAGAGAAAAGAAAGTAAAACACCCAGATAAAGACGCAAGAGGGTAAGACAAACATTCACAACGTATCTTAGAACAAGTAGATATCCAGTGTTGATCCAGAGACCGGGTCTGTGCCTCGGTCGATAGGTATTGATGAGAAAGACGTACAATACATACATACAATACAGTGACGTCGAACCAAAGCAATGACAATGGTATCACCAAAGACGAATGAGCCCCTTTTCACAAACCGTCAACGCCATACGCCCATCATGCTGCAACCAGTGGCATGTGATTAGGATTCCACAATCATCTCATCACTGTTGTTGTCCTCCTCTTCTAGTGTCAGGTCCAGCACGCGGGCGTACTGCACAGTGAGTCTTTGCAATTCCCTGAATTTGCCTGCATCGAGTGTTAACGTTGCCATTGTTGAGACTGTTGAGACTTGTGTGTGTTGACTTACCCAATATCATCACTACGCCTTTCAGCAATATTTTCCGGTCCCATCCGCAAATTTGTTCGTCCGTACTGAACCAGCCCTTTCCTGGCTCAGAATCGCCGTCCTTATCCTGCAGGATACCGCCAAGAAGACTATTGAGTAGTTCCTCAACCTTGCCTCGTGACCCCTCGGCACCGATCCGCTTGGCATACATGAAAAGATATAATCTGAACTCGTCCTTGGCGCCAAGTTGCAAGGCACCAGCCATCCGGTTCTCGAGATGTGCAATGCTGACACTGGATTCGAACGTCTCAAAGCCATCTTTCGAAAGCAATTGTTTGATGATCCGCTGGAGTGTGTAAGCCCGGCCCTTAAGCAAGAATTCATTGGTTGTGTGGCGCTCCAGGTACGGAATGATGCCAGCTGACACCAAAGTTTCTTCGCTCTTGCTGTTCTTGGCTGTTGTTGGGCCCACAGCCGTTGACTGCAGCGCGCCAACAGAGGAATCGTTGCTGTTCCAATACTGGCTGCCGACAGCCCACCAGGCCTCAGATAGTCGCTGCCAGGTATACATACTAGGAGAATAGTAGTACCCATCTCCATTGGTGAGAGTGACTATGATGTGACCATTTGAGTTCAGATGAGCCGAAGTGACGCCTGGTCCTGGCATTGCTGCATGTGGTTGAAGTGACGTTGTGGCGATCTCTAGCACAGGAGCCAGAGATACGGGCGGATGTGGTGATGACAGAGTTTTGATATTCCATACATGACACTGGCCAACAGCTGTAATGCATAGCAACCACCAATTTCTGCACTCGAGAATCACCGGCTGTGACTCGAGGACCATGGCATTGATCAATCGACGCCCGGCGGGTGTCCATGTATATAGACTGCCATCCTCGCAAGCAGCGGACCAAAAGTTCTTGTTTCCAGTGACAAGAATGGTCGCCCGGGGTAGAAAGTCCTGCCAGAGAACAGCCCCACGCTTTGAGACTGTGATATGGGACGGGTCTCTAGTGGATACGGGATTCTTTGCTTCGAGAATAATGTTTTCTGGGATTTTCGAAGCTTCCTCTAGCGTAGTGTCCTTTTGCAAAACTCCCCTTTCAAGGGGCCTGAGGATATGTGAGCGTATCTTGGGTACAGCTAGACGAAGCTGGGAAATGGCGATGGATGGATTTAGTACGGCGGGTCGCAGGAAGTCTGGAGTAGGCACAATACCGCTGCGCTGAGGCTCTAGCGCGGCAGGTTCGAGACCATCCACGCCATTTTCTAGAATAGGACGGGGCCCTGCTGCGGGTCTCTTGCCAGCGTGCTCGTCGTCTTCGTCATCGACAACAATGGCTTTGCGCTTGTTGCCCAGGAGCATTGACGCCAGGCCTCCCTCTGGTAAACCATCGTAGGGCTTGTTGAGATCCAGTATTGTCTGTGGTGCTTCATTTTGGGCGGTCTTGGTGGCGCTGGAACCGACGAGCTGTGTCTGAGGTAACGATGATTGTCCAGTCCCCGATGAAGATATCAACATAGGCGCAACTCTCTTTTTTCCATCTTTGGTGATTGTGACTCGCGATTTTAAGTCATTGACTCTTTGCACATTCTTCTCGGCGGTTTCTTGTGCTGGAGTGGCCTCTGCTTCCTTCTCCTTCTCCTTCTCATTCTCCTTCTCTTTTTCAGATTCCTTGGAGGCTTCTGCTGCAAGCTGTCCATTTGGCGTAGGTGCATTATTTGGCGTCGCTGTGCCTGTCTTGGTACCATTTGTTGCTGGTGCAAGGTCTTTTGAAACAGAATGATGATCACCCATAAGAGCACCCATCCGGGACTCTGCGCCTCTCCGTTCACCTTCTTTGGCGTGAGTTTCCAACAGCAGCCCATCAACGTCCTCAGCAATGCCCATTGCCTTTCTCGAGGCACCGTACTTGGACAAAGCCTTGTCTGTCTCTTCCAGATTGGCTACCCAGCCCAGTTCACCCGTCTCAAATCTAGCACAAACAATGCTGCCATCGAGACTAGCAGCAAACAGTGTCTGACCGTCCGGGGTCCACGCTAGATCTGAAATAGACTTTGCGGCCAAGTCTTGCAACACTACCACTGGTCGAGACGAATTCGTGTTCCATATACTCAGAGTTTTATCCTGGCCCGCTGATGCTATCACAGTCACAAGTGCTCCTGTGGCATGCCCGTTGGATGTGCCACTCTCGGCAGGCTTCTCCGTGTGAAACAGGCGTGGGGAGAACATGCAGACCTCGGTGGGACCCTCGTGGCCAATCAAGTTGATCTCGCTGTCCCATCTAGATCGCTCGATGATGGCAACGGAACTGACAGGACCATTGACGGCATTGGCGGCAGCAATATGGTTACCATCAGGAGACCAGGAACAACGTCTGAAATAAGTCGTCAATGGCGATGACTTGAAGGGTGCGCTAATGGTGGTTTCCAGCTGAAAGTTGTTAATCATGTCATGCTGGGTCGCATTCGCAGCCGGCGAGGTAAATCGGAATATCTTGATTGTTCTGTCGTCGCTGGCAGTCGCAAAGAACTTGTTGGCTGGATCGAATGTGATGCCCTTGACGTGGCTCTGGTGACCAGAGAGCACCTTGAGCTTCTCAAAAGTGTGCCCAGACCATACGACAATCTTGGAGTCGAGACCGACGGAAACAAGAATGGAGCCATCGTGGGCCCAGGCAAGGTCCTGGACGTCGTTTTCATGGCCTACCAAACGTTTCGAGGTCTTCCAATTCTCGACTGGCGGAGGCTCGTTGCTGCCGAGAGCTACGACAGCGGGCGCACCCTTTTCGAGCTGGTATACACAGATAATCTTGTCATCGGCGCCGGAAGCAAGGTATCGGCCATTGGGGGAGAAGCGAACAGAGTGAATCGTGCCGAGGTGGTGGCTCATGTGGCATAATTGCTTCGGTTTCGTAAATGTGCGATCGTGGGCATTGTACACAGCTTCGGTATCCCATATACGAACGTGTCCATCTGCAATTCGAAAATCAACACGTGAATCCTTGGAGAGGTCATGATTAGTCGATGCATACCTCCTCCTGCCGTAGCCAGCCTCTTTCCGTCGGGAGAGACGTGACAGCTGTACACCTCAAAGTCCTTCTGCTCGCCTGTCGCAACAAGTCAGTTAGTCCATCGATCGCATTGCAGGACAAGACAATGAAATTTCATGAAACCCATCAATGGCAGTCGTACCTTGATGGCTCAGCCATGATGGCTTGATGAGATGCATCGTGGTTTGGAAAGCTGCCGAGCTTGTCGCATTCCGGCCTTCTCGAGCATTGGTTGGTAGCGAACCGGAAGTTGGTTGTCTTTGCTTTCTTACGCTGAAGCGCGCCTGCGTCAAAAGTCAAGTCGCGACGCGGACCGAGCTCTTACTCACCAAGTTTGGGGCCTTAATTAGTGGATAGGCGAGAGCTCCAGTGCTTTGAGTGGGCGACTTTACCGTGCCCAGGCCCCGGCCCCAGGTCCCAAGGTCCACCCAGGGGACAGCCTTTGGATTGGGTGATTGCCGGCCCGGAATAAAGGACGCGCCGACCAATGAACTCTTGGAACTCGGCACGGGAGGTGCCTCGACAATCTACAGCTACGGAATACATATCTATCAGCCGAAGTTTGTCATGTTCAGCACCTTATTGTGAATACGGCTTGCGGCGGCAGTGTTCCTCTCTTGTATCCAGTGCAAAAGTTCAATATCTCTACGTCTACTAGTCAACGGGCCGCGATCTCCTCTTTATGCACACCTTTGTTCATATCTTGGCTCCGCTTTGCCTACATTCAACACTCCATGATGGGATGTAAAGTGCGATTGACGGTCACAGCCACAACCATATGTTTAAACTATAAGCGACAGTGCCAAGACCGTATGTTCTCTCAATATGAGCAGCTCATCTGCAATAATAATTGTACTTGCGATGCCCTCGTTATAACATTTCTTGGACCTAGGTTGCGCCCAGGACAGTTGAAACAGTCCAGATCATCTATCCACGGACCAGCCCAGCCATTTGCACTACAGAAGCTTCCAATATCCCACCATACTAAAACGACAGCTGTTTATCTAAAGAACCATATCAAAATGGTCTCTTCCAGGCGACCTCTCAATGGTTCACAAACTAGATACCCTTTGAGATGCACAAGCGTATTCCGACCCTCCAGCTCACTCGAGCAAACACCCGTGGACCGTTTCGCAACGCTTTGTCAGAACCTCGAGACCTTTTCAAGTCGAGACTTGTTCCGTTTGTGTGCTTGACCATGTGCACAACAGCGTCGATGTCCAGACAAGCTTCCAGGACTTCCTTGGCTTTCTCCTGCAAACTAATGGTAGTCGACTACCATCACATCGCTTCATATGTGACTAGTATCTGTCCAATCGGCACTAGATTGCCGCGTCTCCAGTGGGGATACCAAGACTTCGGTAGACGGACCGCTATAGTGCATCTACACGCCATTTCCAGGGTCATGAACGTGATTGCGAAGGCCTGTTCAATACGAACGCTATTCCTCGTCTCAAGGGTCAAAACCCGATTCAATTGGTAATGTTATCCATATATAATAACGCGATTCCGATCCTTTCTTTCAAATTGTGCCACCACCTACAACGAAAACTCACACATTTGCATATCCAACCGAGGACCAAGGTAGAGGACAACGCAGTCGCCACAACTCACGTTGCATGGGAGGGAACGGGTCTTCCGATGGTCTGTATCTTTTTGAAACGTTATCATCGCAATCGTGCTGCCGAACAGCATTCCAGCTCGGCGGTTCTATCTAGCTCATCCACCTGACTGACAGACAGTGAGTCTGCTCCATATTATCCTAAGGTCGTTGCATGGTCCAAATCAAATCTATGGCTCCCGGGGAAGATAAGAGATGTCCCCCCACTCCTGACCCGGACTTACACCCAGCATCGAGATGCCCGTTCATACACACGGGAGACGGAGGAAAATCCATCATCGACTAGCAATAAAAAAATTATTTTGACAGGTAATATAATGAGTAAGATGGCATTGCTCAACAACCTGATGCTGCGTGCAAGTCATGGTCATCTCGCTTCTTGTCAAGTGCCGGCCCGCTCCTCTTCCCGTTAGTCGAACCATGCCAACATGAAAAGAGATAAGGCTAGATGTCGTGCTTGTCGGCGTCGTAACACCGTGGGTCTTTTCCGACAACCTGGTTCAACCACTACAGGGACTATAGAAGCGATAATTATGTGGTGAGCGGCGAATGCCTGCCGACGAATTACTACGTACTGTACATGCATGCTCTGCTCGAATCGGTGGGGTACTCCGTTGCAGCCATGTTGATTATATACTACGCTGCACTCCCCATACAAACATGGCGATCACCTTGCCGCTCGTCTACTCCAACTTTTCACTCCTAAGCGACCTGTATACCTAGTGTCGTCGAGCCAGGCCTAGCTGTCATGGCTTCAGAGATCCAGCAAGTTCGGCTGGACAATTCGAGCGATGAGAAGGTGTCTGAGACCTCACATGGAGATGACAAGATAACAACCAAGGACACGATCGAGCCGTACGTGGCAGACCTGGAGGGAGAAGGTTACGAGGCAGAGAAGCAGAAGCTTTTCGAAAAGGCCGAGGCTGTAGAATTGGTCCCTAATGAGGCGTTTACATGGAACGTCGATGGAGATCAGTCGCCTTGTAAGTCTCGCTTGTATACTCCGTTCGCATCTCGTTAACTAACACAATATCAAGTTCCGGAGGTAGCGGCTTGTGTCCCCAATACTGACGACCCGAGCATTCCTTGCAACAGTGAGTTTGCAAATCGCCAATGCCTTTAATGTCTAATCTAATGGTGGAACAGCTTTCCGGGCTTGGTTTCTTCTTACTGTGTTTGTTATTCTCTTTGCGGGCGCCAATCAGTTCTTTGGTCTCCGATACGTATGTCATCCCAGTTCGACTGCAACGGCGTTGAAGACTAATATAAACGATATCAGCCGTCTCTATCCATCGGTTATGTTGTTGCCCAATTGCTTGTCTTCCCAATCGGCAGAGCGTGGGAGAAACTACCGCGATGGCGATTGCCTCTAGGGCCTCTCTCATTTGATTTCAATCCCGGCCCCTTTAGCATCAAGGAGCATGCTCTGATTGTCATTGTATGTGTTTTCAAAAAGCTATTCATTTCATCCTGCTAACCAACACAAAGTGCGTCAACATTAGTGCCTCTGTTGCCTATGCTTCCGGAGCACTTGTGGCCATTATCAGTCCCGTGTACTGGAATAAAGATAACGGAGCTGGATTCTCGTTCTTGTTTCTCCTGACTACGCAAATGCTCGGTTTCGGTCTTGCGGGCTTGTCGCGTCGATGGCTGGTGTATCCTGCCGCTCTGATCTGGCCGTCGTCCCTGGCCTCGACCGTCCTCTTCCGTGCTCTCCACGAACCTCAGGAGCGCGTTTCGGCAAACGGATGGACCATTTCTAGATATAGGTTCTTCTCATACTGCACCATATTTGCCTTTGTCATCTTTTGGTTCCCTGATTACCTTTGGACGAGCCTTAGCACCTTTGCCTTTATCACCTGGATCGTCCCGCACAACCAAAAAGTCAACACCATATTTGGCATGAACTCTGGCCTTGGTTTGCTGCCAATCAGCTTTGACTGGACCCAGATCAACTATGCCGGAACGCCTCTGACGACGCCCTTTTATATCAGTTGCAATGCATTCGCCGTGGTCGTCATCTTCTACCTGTTCCTGTCGCCAATCTTGTATTACAAGAATGTGTGGTACAGTGCATAGTAAGTAATGCAAGTAATGATGGCGTGAATTTTTCTACTAAACTTGCATAGTCTACCACTTCTGTCATCGAGTACATTCGACAACACTGGCTCCTCATACAACATCTCTCGAGTCGTTGACGAGAATCTGAATTTTGTCTTGAGCAAATACGAAGAGTACTCTCCAATGTACATCTCAATGTCGTACTCCATCTCTTACGCTCTATCCTTTGCCGCAGTCACCGCAATGATCTTCCACACGTACCTGTACAACGGAAAGGAGATCTGGGACAAATTCAAAAACTCTCGTGCTGGTGGAGAAGATATCCACAAGCGTTTGATGAATCACTATAAAGAAGTACCTGACTGGTGGTAAGTCCAGAGAATCTCACCTTTCAGAACTTGTTTCCCGGTCCACGTTTTGTCCCGGGAAACATCGGTCATTTGTAGCTCGGGTACTTGGCGCGAACTTCTACACGACCAAGAGAAAATTGAGAAGCTAACGCGTTTCAACTCACTAGGTATGGAGTCTTGACGGTAATCGTTCTCGGCCTTGGTATCATGACCGTCCGCTACTGGGATTCTGGACTGCCGGTCTGGGGTTTTATTGTGGTCTGCTTTGGCATGGGCGTGACATTGATCATCCCCGAAGGTATTCTGGAGGGTACCACGAACCAGCGAATCTTCCTCAACATCATTACGGAGCTCATTGCTGGATACGCTTGGCCAGGCAAGCCCATTGCGAATATGATGGTCAAGTGCTACGGCTACAACTCGGTCAAGCATGGTATGGACTTTGCTCAGGATCTGAAGCTGGGCCAGTATATGAAGATCCCTCCCCGGGTTTTGTTTGTTGGCCAGATCTACGCCTCCATCCTTGCTACCGCGACCCAGACGGGAGTTCTACGCTGGATGATTGCCAACATTGAGAACCTCTGCAGCTCCAAGAACACGCAGCGCTTCACGTGCGCCGGTACAAAGGTAGTTTACAATGCATCTCTCGTCTGGGGCAGCATTGGTCCTCAGCGCATGTTCCAGGCCGGCCAGGTGTACAACGGAATCATGTACTTTTTCCTCATTGGTCCCATTGTCACCGTCATTGTCTACAGCATCTACCGCAAGTATCCCAACAGCTGGGTGCGCTACATCAACGTGCCCATTTTCTTCAACGCTGCCGGTAACATCCCACCGGCCAACACGACGCAGTACTCGTTGTGGTTCATCTTTGGATTCCTCTTCAACTATTTGGTCCGGAAGCGTGCGTTTGCTTGGTGGAAGCGATACAATTGTATGAAGACCCCCCATCTTCCTATTCAGACTTTTTTTGAGCTGACAAAAATTTCACTCTGCAGATTTGCTACAAGCCGCCATGGACACTGGCACGGCTCTGGCCACTGTCATTATCTTTTTCGCACTGAGCTACAATAACATCACGCTCAGTTGGTGGGGAAACAATGTTGGATCTGACACGGATGATTCCAATTCGGTGCCGTACCTGACAGTTCCAGATGGCTCATACTTTGGAAAGGGACCTGGGCAGTTTTAATATTGATGTGATGGATAATAGAGCGTATACCTCTTTCTCTTCGCTTTCCGGGTAATTTGTAGGTAATCTGGAATGGCATGGAAATGAGAAACGAAATAGACTACAGACAGAATCAATACATTGATCTCTACATTTGTCGAAAGACTGAGAACCTTCGTTGATTCGTCACAAGCTGGGCCTTCAGAATTGAGAATGAGCAGAAGTCTTCGAGATTACAATGCGCTTTGAGGTCCCATTTTTAGCACGCTCTTGTGATATTTGTTTTTGAACAAGCCAGTTTATCCTAGCCGTCGTGCGTCGACTCCTGCTCGGTCAGTGTTTCTTGGGACATGATTGCTGTAATGAAACGGTGCTCTGCTATTAAATAAGTAAGAACACGAATATGAATCTGTAAAATAACTTTTCGCTGCCATACATGGAGGGAATCGAAATTACATCACGGACCTGGTATTGTGGGGGTGAATTCTGGAGGGCTCAACCCAGAAAGACAGGTCTTGAAGCCTCGGCGCCGGATATCGGTCGTAGGATGTGAGTGGTGCCTACAGTTTGATCCAACCGTGTATTCCGTAGGTACGAACAGGAACTACCTGGACGGATGGAGCAGCTACCCTTCGAGTCTGATATCATTGAGGAATGCTGTGCAGGCACATATTTGTTAAAGCGTAGAATCATGTCTTCCAACAATTTCTGCACAAGTGTCATTTGTTGACCCCCCAATCGGAAGCTCGTCAGATCATCCTCTTGGTTTACGCGGTACTGATATTCGTCAGGAACGTCGTGTGGATGCCCAGAACCACACGGTTGAGCATAGCCCACGAGAATAGGATACGCGTTGTGATATCTTGTCCCTTATCACAATAACTGGAGAGCCAATTTCCGAGGCTGATAAAGGCTTGACCAAACTACATTCTGCATTTTTCCCAACTAGGACCAGATTCCCGGGTGCGCTCTACCACGTCGGGAATTGCTTGGATGGGTAAGGGTTTGAGCTAATTCAAAGGGGTTATCTGCGAGTCGTGTGGTCTGGACCTCTTTGATATCGCCCGACTGTGGCCAAGATCTCAAATACGCACGTGAGGCTATGCAAAGCGCGAAAGCAGTGATTCTAGCAGACAATCAACGACGGCATGTAAAGTCTGCATTCGCTTGATCTACCCATGAGTAGCTATAATGAGAGATTGGCATAACGCAGGTTGTAATCGGAGTAGCGAGGTCATTCAATTACCTGACCACAAGGCGTCCAACTACATTTTGTTTTTGTACATTGATAGGTTGGACCCTGATCTAGGTAGACACCCGGCGCCATGGCCTAAAACTGACATGCCGATGATACTTGGCCGTTGCGAGCCACATGGCAAAGTGGCACTATTGCTGCTAGGGTTTCCAAATCATGGCAACCGAACACTATAAGATACAGCAACATGCTGATTGTACCTTGCCTACACTGGGTCTGACCATTCTTCAAGCCTCGCCCTGCATTCAAAGTTCGTGGGTCATAAAAGCTTGCCTTGCAGCATAATGACGACTATCCTGCCCTAACAGAGGATACTAGCGAATGAATGGGGGGTGAGGATTCATCCGGATGGATGCTGAAGGCCCCAAAGGAGACCAAGAAGTCTGTTTGAGATCAGTGGAGTAGGGACTGACGTATCGTGGTAAATGCCGCGCGAGTTGCTTCCTCGTTAACAAGATTCGATTTCCAATGAAGGAATACAATCAAATAATCCTTTCAAGCTGAAAGATAAGACTAAATTTGGGACAGGTCTGAAGACCAGGGCATGGCGTGGTACTGGCGTCACCAACAACCAGGTGCCTCCCCGCGTGTTTGTTGGAACTCTTTTTCGAGTCATGCAAAGCAAATGCGAGTTTCGAGTATAAACGAGAATTGCATATAGTTTTCCTACTTTTGAAGTGTGACGGACTGATCAAAATTACGCAGCTTTTCAATTGCTTTCGATAGATCTACAATGGATTCATCATTGGATTTTATAATGTTTCTTCCCCAGAAAACGGGAGAAGACGGTAAATGTTGGAGCCCCCTTACGAATCCACCGAAAAAGTCTCGGCACGCGTTGCCTAAAGAGCATTAGAGGCTCCCATTATCCCAGAACTCGAAGCAAAAAAGCCGTGACATCACCCAGCCAGCCAGGTTATGCAGATTCTTATCTCGTAATGAAAACTTGCATTGTCTAGTCCAGATGTGGCCGTCCTCCACTGCCAAGACTGCGGCTATCTTATCGCAGCGGGCTTTGGGCTGGGGTTTATCGAGACTGGGAACCTGACTCATGGGGGGGCCCTTGACGGCGGGAATGCCCTGGAGAGGGACAGTGAAGTGAGAGCGCAGGAATGGACAGAAGGGGAAAGGTGAGAGTGAGAGGCCTAGGTAGGACCGACCGCAAAGAACTACCGTAGGTAGGGTTAAAGACTAGATACCGACCCGCCGTTGCGCCGCTTTCTCTCAAACGACCGTTTCTCGCTCTTGGTGGAGATGGGAGACACACGACAATCAGTCATCGACTCATCTCATCGTAGCCCGGCATTGACAAACAGTCATAAGTATTTGATACGCTGATAAACTATCAGTTCCGCCGCCGCCGCTGCTGGTTGCTACCACCACTCTGCCTGTCTTACTTATGCTTGCTATATCGTGCGGCATCAGCTCATACCCGGCATCTTGAGCTGCTAACAGCTCCTCTGTCCTTTTTTTTTTTTTTTTTTTTTTCCTAATCTCCCGAGCTGCGCTGGATTAGGACGGTTCTCTTGGATCACCAGAGTACTGCAAGGCCACCTTCCCTCCACCACAATGGCTGGCTCAATTCTTACCGGTCGCAAGTCCACCGAGGTGGCTGCTGCGGCTGACGATGCCCTCGCTAAGATGGGCTACAAGTCAGAACTCCCGCGTAGTCTGAGTATGCTGTCGGTTCTCGGTCTGTCCTTTGCCATCATGGCTGTGCCCTACGGTCTCAGCACCACCTTCTACATTACGCTTTCCAACGGCCAGTCTGTCACGATCATCTGGGGTTGGGTTCTCCTGTCCATCATCTCGACCGCCATTGCCGCCTCCCTGGCCGAAATCTGCTCCGTCTACCCCACCGCCGGCGGTGTATATTACTGGGCCGCTCTCCTGTCGACACCGAAATGGGCACCGATTGCCAGTTGGATTACCGGATGGTTGACGTTGGTCGGAAACTGGACCGTTACTCTGTCGATCAACTTTGGTGGTGCCCAACTAATTCTCAGTGCCATCTCGCTTTGGGATGAGGACTTTGTAGCCAACGAATGGCAGACTGTTCTCATGTTTTGGGCCGTCACGCTGGTATGCTATCTAATCAACATCTTTGGATCCAAATATCTGGACCAGATCAACACGCTTTGCATCTACTGGACTGGAGCCTCGATTATCATTATCCTGATCGTCCTGCTGGCCATGTCGCCTTCCAAGCGCAGCGGCGAGTTTGTCTTTGCGCACTACGACTCTTCTGCATCGGGTTGGCCCAGCGGCTGGTCCTTCTTTGTGGGATTGCTCCAGCCCGCTTACGTGCTGACTGGATATGGTATGGTGGCATCCATGTGCGAAGAGGTCCAGACTCCTGAGCGCGAGGTCCCCAAGGCCATTGTTCTGTCCGTGGTGGCAGCCGGTATCACCGGTCTGGTCTACCTCATCCCCGTCCTCTTTGTTCTTCCCGATGTTCAGACTCTCCTCGATGTCGCCAATGGCCAGCCTATCGGACTTGTCTTCAAGACTGCGACTGGCAGTGCTGGTGGTGGCTTCGGCTTGCTTTTCCTGATTCTCGGCATCTGGCTGTTCGCTGGTATCGGTGCCTTGACAGCCTCGAGCCGCTGCACCTACGCCTTTGCCCGTGACGGTGCCATTCCTGGATCTGGCCTCTGGAGCAAGGTCGACAAGAGATTCGACATTCCCTTTTGGGCGCTTACACTCTCGGCTATCGTTGACTGCCTCCTGGGTCTCATCTACTTTGGCTCCACGGCCGCCTTTAGCAGTTTCACAGGCGTGGCCACCATCTGCCTCTGCGCCTCGTATGGTCTGCCGATCCTCGTCTGCGTCCTCCGCGGCCGCAAGCACGTGCGCCACGCATCCTACTCGCTCGGCAAGATCGGCTACGTGACCAACATTGCCACGCTGCTGTGGATCGTGCTGGCTATTTTCTTGTTCTGCATGCCGACCAACCTGACTGGCCTCGACGCCGAGAGCATGAACTATGCCAGTGTCGTGTTTGCCGGCTTCGCCGCTATCAGTATGATCTGGTATGCCGTCTGGGGTCGCAAGAACTTCTCCGGCCCGCCCATTCTCAATACCGAGATGGCCGAAGAAGGTGGTGTTGGTGTTGTAAGGGGCCACTCTCTCGATGAAGAAGCAACAGCAGCAGCTAAGGATGTAAAGCAGGGTGGTGAAGAAAAGAGCGTATAAAGTTGAACCTTTTCCTTTTATCTTGAATACGAAAGACTTGGGTAGATCACAGACTTTTGTTTCTTTAGATGGAAGATATAGGCGTTTCTATAGCTTCAACACTGTATCAATTAATAACAAAGATACACTCACAATTCTGTTGATGACTCCAATATGAACAGCGTGATGCAATTCTATTCATGAGAAAGGTTATCCGAGTGATGTCAATGCGACACGAGTCAGTCCATGACCTTTGCCAACCAGATGCGGCCACCTCTTTGCTAGTTCAGCCCGACTTATGTTGATCAAGACCAATCAGGTTAATATGGACTTCAGATGAGGTGATTGGGCGCAGAATCACCGGTATACTTCCTGGATAGCAGAATAGTCTATGAAGCATGGCACCAAAAGCACCTTCTTGTTTGCCAGAGACAACAGTAAATATCCCCGTATCCTGTAAGAATAGGCACCTGCAACGACGCGATCAGTCCCTTCTTTTCGGCTATTGAGGAACAAACACTGGATGAAAGGGCTTATATTCTCCCAGGGCCTGGGACTTCTAGATCCGTCTCGTCGTGAAATTTTCAACGTGCCAACCAGGAGCGCAAATGACTGACAACTTCAGGTAGGAACTATTGCATGACGAATCATTCTGAGGAGAAAAGTCCAAAGGCCGATCGAAGTGGCATTGCTGGATTGGTGTGGCTGGCTGAAGCTCACAAACAAACAGGTCACAAAACACCGTGCAGCCGCCAAGAGGGGCTGGCCAAGTAGCCGTGTAGAGTGAGTGCATGATGGGACGTTGGCTTGGTTTATAGTCTTCTTTGTCGGTGACCATTCAATGCACCACTACCTGGGCAAATGTGGCTACCTATCTTGGTTAGGTAGGTATACCAGAAATACGACCCTGGGCAACTGTTCTGTTGGCGTTGAGCTGCAAGGTGCGCAATACTAGCCTTTGAGCAGCTGTTATATTGAAAAATTGGGTGTCGCTGGGTCACATTAATGTAGGAGGGCACCGTCAATTAGGCGACCGTGAGGGAGGGAGAAAAAAGAAATGATTTGCTGATGAGCTCTCTTGTCTTTGTCTTTGCTTGACATTTGCTCGACTTTCCCAAGTCGCCTTGCCACCTTGGATGCAAGACAAATCTGGTTCCCTGCCAAAAGTTCACAAATGGATGCGATGCAATCATGCGTTTTGACTGTTGAACTTTGTCAAGTATCCAAAGGGCATATATCTTAATTGACCACTGTTATGGAGATATCTTCAGACGAGCCCCACGCACCCAAGACTGGGGGGTGCAATGCAATTGGTGCTATTCGGAGCATCTTCCCGAATATATTCCCCGAGCAGCGTTGCGGTTGTTATTGGGCAATAGCAAGAGGTGGTGTGTCACGAGCATGTTCAACACGAGATATATTGGAGAAATGTAATGTGTACTGCTCTTTGCGTTCCCTTTCGATCCCTCCCATGTGCTGGTGTTGCGACGATCCCCCTTGGAAGCGATGAAGCAATGCTGAAACCTGACCGTGAACTGTGGACATCGCAATGGCACATCAATGGCTGCTGCTCTGTACAAAAGACGGAAAGGGATCAATCCTTCGATACACGACCAACTTTGGTGGGGAAAGCACGGATCCACACCTGGTAGCAGCAGGCACATCAAATAAGAGAAAGAGAAACTCAAGCTAGCCATGCACCTGGGGGACGTGCCGAAAGCACCGAGGGTAGATCATTGAGACCCCTGATTTATCTGTTCGTAAGTATGTACCAAGGGAATGGACGAGAAGTAGCAACAAGCAGCAATATCTCGTCATGTGCGACGGCATTTGTGGTACCAGCAATAAATAAGCATATTGAGCCAACCAAGTGATCGAATAGGCGGCGGAGAAGGCATCATGTATTCGGTTGTCGGATCAGTCCTGTTTGTGCCGTGACACAGGTTGTGTCCGCTAGTCCCAGAATAAGAGATCTTCAAATAGTCCATATGTCGTTCGCATCTTGTCAATAATGTCAACAGCAGGATCGCCGCGCCACGACGTCTCATTTCGGGTATGCTCATGTGCATCGATGTCGCACGACTCTGGCAGCTCGTGAACCGAAGGGTCTTTTACTAAACTCCAGGCTCTTGAGTAATAATGCCTGCTGCATGTTTGCTCATGAGATGCTTTATCATTGTAGCGGTGCTTGCTTGCTTGCTTGCTTGGGGCAGGGCAGGGCAATACACTCTGCTCCACGTGAGTATTGGCAGTGTCTCCCGTTAGCACTTCCTTCGCGCTCGTGCTGCAACTTGCAGTATATCAGGTGGAATTCTCAGACTTTTGAGTGAGGGCATTGTGTCAACATTTTCCTTCGACTTCAGATGAGGCACCTGCTATCACACGGCCCCATTCATGTTCTGCAGGAGGCACTGCCCTCGACGCCATCAAGCTTGTGGAGCAGACTGATGGGTTTGGTAATAACGTTTGAATGAAACTGTCAGCTGGCGCAACGACGTGACGCCTCTTTTGAGAGAAAGGTCAATGAGCAGCTCGGCAGCCAGAGCTCTGTAGTGAACAGTGCTTTACTTCGAGAAGCCGAAAATGCCATGGGCTTTGCTCGTGGGCGCGGCATGGCCGGGAGTCAGTGAGGAGAAGGAAACCGAGGACGGAATGGTGCGTTTACTGAGCCCTGCAAGGCTCCTAGGCCCCAAGGGTGCACGGCTGCTTTTTTTTTCTCGACATGATGTCTGTCAACAACCTGGTGGCATGTCATTATAACAAAGTTTCGCGTCTTGTTTTGTAGACTTGACACGTCTGCTGAATGGCATTGAAAGGGCGGGATAAAGATGTCTTTGAATGTTTACCTTGATGAGTGTTCCAGAGAACTGGAGCATCTGAGAAGAAAAAAAGGTTGGACGAATGATGATCGCGGTATAGTTGCTTGCTTGACACCTACCTTGCTTACATTCCTCCCTCGACCATCTCCACATGTCTCGTCCTCTGGTGCAAAGCAAAACATGGCATCCTGCCGCTAAATGTAAGCTCTTTCTGCAAGCTGTTTGGCAGTGCATGGCACGGGCTCTTTGACTGCTCCCACGAAAAAGCCTCTGTCAATCTGTAGGAGGGGCCTAAAGAGCTCCCTGCTTTTTAGCCTTTCTCAACCCCTGGCAGGTCTCTCGGGGCTTGAGGACAAGAAGTTTAGCAACACGCGATGTGGTGAATTTGGTTGGCATTTGCGTTCCCGCTTCCAGAAGATCCACCCCCTTTCGGCTGTCTGTGGGTTGGAGCGACTGGTGGTGGTGGTGGTGGTGCATTTCGGGCACCTTTGACGTCTTCTTAAAAAATACCCGACGGCCTGCTGTTTTTTTTCTTGCTTTGCGATCTGACCGTCAATACTTACTTCACAACTTCGATTTTGTTATTCTTTCTATTTTCTTGCTTCAACACAAACTATTCCATTACTATTCTCGACGCTCAACTCTGTGCACTCGTAATATATCAATTCCTTCTTTGATCAGCTAGTTTTCTTTTTCCTCTTATTTCCTCTGTCATAACATTACCCACGCTCTCTTAAACTCGTCATTTCTTGTTTTTTTCCCATCCCTCTTTTTCCTTGTTCGTCCCTGCCTAGGCAGATCCTATTGCATCACATCGCGGGGGAAGGAGAAAAAAAAAAAAAAAAAACCAAGCTGCCTGCGCCCAGTTGTTTCCCCCCTCCCTTCGACAATCGCGGCTGAGAAGGAAAGTGAAGAAGGAGCTGGACCCCGACTGAACCTCAGCCACGCATTTTTCCCTCCATCTCTCACCACTTGGAGGCATCTCAATCAATTAATCAACAACACTCTTGACATTTTCTTCTACCATTTTGAAAAAAACACCTTGGATCACGGCAAAATCCGGGCCCATTTACCATTGCACCGAAACCCACTACTCGTTTAACCGAAAGAGTTGTAGCCGTTGTTGCCTGTAAACAAAGGTAGACATACTTTCGTACAGGCATCCCATACGTACCGCGCTCCAGTCCTCCGTTACCATACTAAAAGTAGTGGGGTCACTCTATCCCACCGACATCGTTCATCCCAACCACCAATCTTTTCTTTTCCATCGAGTGCACAGTCGGCGCATTGTCGCAGCAATTGTATTTGGGCGCTGGTACGACTCGTGAATATTTTGGCACCTTGTCCATTCAGTCGTTAATAGCCACTATGTTCGATAATCCTCAATGGGCGGTCGACTCGACGCGAAAGAGGGCCAGGGACGAAGAAGAGGCCTTGAATGGAACCACTGGCTTCACCGAGCATAGGAACAAGCGCCTTCATTCTCTGCCGTTGCGATCAAGCCCCGGTCACAAGCGATGGACTGGTCCTCCTCCGACCTTTCCCAGCTCGTCGCTCGCTCCATCCACAATCACACCAAGCGACTCGGACTCGGAAGACTTGCACCAACAACAGCAGTTGCAGCAGAACAATGCATCACATCTCTCGTCATGGCCATATGGGCCAGCCCCGTCGCAGCAGCAACAGCAGTCCCCAGACTCTTGCATGGATGCCGATAGAGACACAGACATGATGGTCATGGAGGATACGCAACACCTGAACCCCGGATCTACGCAGCCGGATCATGTCGGCTCCAGCATTACTGGTCGGATGCCAACACCCATCCACGCTACTTTCGCAGCTCAGGTCCGAGGCAACAATTGGGGCACGGCAAATGGAAGCAACATGCAGTCGTCGTCTGGGACCGCCTTCCCCAGAGCTTTCCCACCGCCGCAAGATCCCACTGTCCCACGATCCGCCGAGAATGTTGCAGAATGGTCCATGGTGCAGAACAGGAGATTACCGTCGCCAATTAGTGAAAGCGGCGGTGAGGAAGCACCTACCAGCCCTGGCATGGTCCTGGACTCCTCGCCTGCCATGCAGCGACCGTACCTGCCGCACATGCCGCATTCGACAAATCCAGCAATGGCTCATCCCAATGTGGAGATAGTGACCCCTCGGGCCTCGACCGACGATGTGGGCATGATGGACATGGAAGATGGACAGGATGGCTCGCCGACTTCAGCTCCCGCGACTCCGTCACCTCGTAGCAAGTTTGGACACTCTCGCAGCAAGCACACGCTCAATTCATGGACACTGCAGCCCGGCATGAAGAAGTCGTTCAGTATAGGTTACCGCGCCGACTGTGAGAAATGCCGCCTCAAGATCCCGGGTCATTTCAACCATATCATCGTCTCATAGAAGGACGAGAACGGACAGAATATGACTTGGCATAATTCCATCAGGCAACCCAGCAAGGCAGTGATTAAGAAGCTGAGAGAAACTCCAAGCCTCGCGAAGTATGCCAGACCTCAAACAGAGGAATCTACCAGACTGGTATTCCCTATGGCTAGGAATTGCTTGGCTATGCCAGCGCCAGCCAGTTGTGGTACATTGTCCGTTGCATAAGCTGGATTCGGCAGCCAAAGTCGTTGAGTCTGAAAATATCACATACAGCGGTGGGAAAGATGTCCGGAGAACACACACATTCTCCTCACAGCGAGAATTATTTTCTTATTATCATTGCATCACCTGGATTGGGGTTTCGTTTGTTTTAGGTCAGAATACCCTCCACGCTCACTTGCATCTTGGTTTATCTTTTTCCCGGCGTTGGTCACTCATCAAGACATCAGAAGATGTCAGCAGGACCAAGGAGTTCAGGCCTGTTATTTGAGGGACATACAGAGCCCTCCCTAATAGTTTGATCATAGTGTACCTTGTCAGCGTTTTGCCATGGATACTTATATATTGCTAAATATACCAGCCGTTGAAGCTTTCTGGTACATGAGCGTTCCTTGCAGTGGATTGTCATTTAGTGCCCAATTGCTGCGATTCCACTACGCAATAGATCCTGATTCCTTTTGTGATTTCTAGGGAATACTTAGCCAAGCCTAATATTATGCATCAAGGCACTGGGTGTTCACAGTGAGAAGAAGCGAAAAGCATATATCCTTCGGGCCAATGTACACCGACCACACCGTCGATCTTGAGCCTGCATTTCTTTTACTTGACAAAAGCAATGCTACAGTTGCGGGCGGTCCACTGAGAGACGCGTAAAATGCTCACCAGAGTCGCGACTGCATTAAATGAAATGAGCAGACGCGTGAATGCTAGTCACTAAAATCCTTGAACGCGATAAATCGAGTGGTTGTGCAAGGGGATCAAAGTTGCTTTTCGGCATTTTCGATAACTTTGTCATCCAATCACACGGAAATGTGTTGTTCCACATTTAGAGCTGTTGTTTACCTCTGAAATACATAAAAACGACGGAATTGGGAGAAGACCTCGCATGATTTTTGTCTTTTCTTCAGATACGCTTTCTTGTGACGCACTCGAGTTCTGCCCTACCAACAACTTCGGCTTCATAATGGCCAGGCTATCACGTCTGCCCGATGAGCTTCTTTGCATGATCGGTGACTGCTGCGATCATATCCTAGACCTACATTCGCTTTCGGCAACTTGTCGCCAATTCCACCACATCTATGATCCACTGCTGTGCAAGGCCGCTGCCAAGGACTACCCGCACTTGCTCACCTGGGCTTGTGATACTTCCCAGCTCTCACTCGTCAAAAAGTTGTTGGCTGCCGGAGCTGACCCCAATAGGCCATGCGTTGCCATATCTCCGCGAGAACAAGCAAACTACTCGAAGAGGGTCAGCGGGCTACGGATTGTCCCCAGACCACGAGACCTCCTGACAATTGTCTATAATCACAATGTTCCCCCGAGAATGGAGGCTTGGAGATCAATGCTTGGACAGACCGCTAACGTTGTAGCCAACGATTACGAGGACAATCACTATGACGATGGTAGATGGGATAGCGACGGATCTTCCAACTCATCCAACTCATCCAACTCAACTCGTTATGAAGATGAGATCGATGGGGTGCTATACTATCGGACCCAAGCAGACGTCGTGTCGCGCCCGTGGTTTGAAGCAATGCCGTATGATAAGAATCCCGAGAGCTGGTCTCGTATTGCAGAACGTCACTTTTGGTAAGTGTGTAATATACTGTTATCATTACCCGCGAGCAGCCGCATAAGGTCAGCGAGCGAAGAAGACTACCCTGACTTGGCTCTGCCTTGATTGATATTCTGGATGGCTCTCTAATACTTGAACAGGTTCCCATTGCAGTAAGAATCTAAACCCCGAATCTCTTCTTCACACTCTCTCCTTTTCCTGGCTCAATGTTAGGAGAAAGTCACGGTTCCTTCCAGCCCAAGCAGCCG